ATAAATTCATCGCGAATATATAAATAGAGTAAAACTATATGTGCATACATATCTTATGACACCATACTTAGCATTAAATCTGTATCATATATTCCATACAAGTTAATCTTCGTGCAATCATGCATGAAATATTCAGATTTCGCAAACATTTTTAACATCAACTTATTTATGTTCTAATTATTTTTTTAAATTTTTTTGAAAATAATTGTAAACATGAATTGGCGTTTATTTATTATTTGATGAACAAAATATATCTTCAAAAAAAAAACATTTGAAGTCAGTTGTAATATTTTTTTTTTGTATTGACATTATTTTTTCATCATTCCTCATCCTTCTTTAAATTTTTGAACTCATTAAAATTTGTTCCAGAATTTGTATAATATTTATATATTAAGTTTTAATATTATAAAATTTATGAAAATAATTTTTTAACCTGGCCCAAATGGGTATCCAACCCGGAACAAGTAGTTCCTAGACCACGTTTATATCAGATTTTCACTTGAGATTGTAGACATACAATTATACTCTGTTATCTATAGATAGATCTAAAATATCAACTCTATTAAAAATTGTCTAAAACTAGAAGGAACAACAATGGGCTCGAGACAGACGAGCTATCTATAATGTTATAGATTATTATGTTCTACTATAAGTCAAAAATAGTAATGAATAACTAACGAATCAATGCAATATTATTAAAATAAATGACAATAAATAAAATGAAGCAAAATCGCTACTCATACATTTCCAAAACTTTTTAATAAAATAACTTTTATACTGATGACATCTGATTGGATGCTGTTATATAGCCAGTAAAGGGCTATTTTACTTAAAAACATATTGCTTTCTTTATTTTCATTTAAAAACCGATGTCACTACTGCTTGATATCAGACTGTACAAAGTAGGTAGCAAACGCGGAACTTCTGATTAGAGGTCTATAGTTTTAACCACGGATGCAGGGAAAAGCCCAATATTCATAGCCCATAATTATAGCATATATTATTCATTTAGTCTAGACATTCGACACAATTAAACATTTTATGGATAATATATGCTCAACCTGTAAAAATGTTTACGTATGTCAGTTTTTTCAAATTGTAAATGATTAAGCGATCTTGAGGGTTAGTCCGTAGTGTTGACTACAACCTATATAATAAATTTTGGTAATATCTTTTTTATTTTTTTATATGTTTATATATTTGAAGTTTATATGTTTGAACAACCAAAATGTTTTGGTTCTATGAGCTATTGTGATGAATTACTCAAACACTGCGGCGGATTTATAGATGACAACCCAAATAGTTGTCCAATCTTTAATATGATCTATTTCATTATTACAATTTTATTAATCCTGGTGAATTTTTATCGATGCAGCAATGCTGGGTAAGATCAATTTTCACTTGGAAACATATTGCTATTTATATTTCAAGCAATAAGAGAAAACCGATGAGACTTCTACTTGACAACAGACTGCTCGAAGCTAGTATCGAACCTGGGACTTTTGATTCAAATCACATTGCTCTATCCAATCACCTAAGAGCGAGCAAATCTGAGCCCTTGTTAATATTTGAAAAGAATTTTTCTTCGCTTTGAGGTCAGGTGCGGGTCAACATGTGCGAGGTGTAAATAATACAAATCACGTATCAGAAATAACGTGAATCAGGAAACCGACATTCCCGATATTTCAGTGACTGAATGTTTACCTATATGTCGGAATAAATAAATTACTCATTGCGAATTCTTAGGATAGTTCCAACAAAGCATCCATATAATTGCTTTTTGGTAAATACATGTTATCTTGCAGTACGCATAAAGCAAATATTTTCTTGCTTTCGATAATCAGTATAGTGATAGTCGAGATATACTGGAAAATAAAAATATTTCAATAAACTAAATGATTACTAGCAAAAAAACATTACAGGCAGTGTTAAAATTGGTATGAATTGCGTGTAAATAATTACTAAATTGGCACTTTTGTATACCTTAATGTTTGCTTCGAACTGGAATCTCAAAAACGCAAAACGTTCAAAATGAACGAGATGTAATGAGCGAAAAGTACTTAAAATATTTACGCTTGTCCGTTGCATAATTTCGGCGTGTTACCGTTGCAAGTGAAGGGCAGGGCCTTGGCCGTGACATATGTTTATGAAATGTATGCATAAAAACGAAATAATTGCAAAAAAATATACCCGTGATGAAATTTAATAATATGCATGCACTACGAAAATATTCAATTCTGAATACACTTAAAAAATTCTGACTATGGCAATATTAGAAAATTTCATTAATTTCAAAGACGAAAAAATATCGTATGTACTATAGATTGCATTTTCTTTCCTTTTTTAATATTTGCACCTATTCCATACTGAACTTTAGCAAATTTTTGGTCGTGTTTGAAAAATATGTCTAAATCAAATGCCAATCCACATCGATTGGGCGTCCGCGTATTATAATCGTATGAAAAATAACATCGATTAAAATGAATACTGCATATAAATAAAAAGTTATGATCTGATATTTATATAATTTTGTACTTGTTTTAATTGTATATAAAAAATTAGACAATCATAAATTGAGTAAAAATTTAATTTTAATTTTTAATTTCCTGAAAAAATACGAAACTTTCGTTCGTACTGTTCCGTTAGAACGAATTTTGTGAGCCTCGGAATTGTTATAAAATAATTTAGAATTGACATTTAATAGTAGGGTGATCCAAATTTGGTAAAGAGGCTATATACATATTATAAAAATATCTATATTAAATTTCTGATAATATGCAAAATTCATATATGAAAAGGTGGGTCCAAAAAAATGCTTAAGGTGTTTCACCGAAAACTAATCTGATCAGCAGATTATCAACATGAATGTGGTGTTTTTCAACGCATATTCAACATATATATATACATATATATATATATATATATATATATATATATGTGTGTGTGTGTGTGTGTGTGTGTTTGTGTGTGTGTGTTTATGTATATGTGTGTACTATACGTACTTATATCAAAATGATTACTTCATAAATGCTAAGATAGGAAAAATGATTTTCTTTTATGATAAAATTTTAGAAAGCTCAGGATAGCCCATCAGTAAGCTACGGTTAATTTTTGTTGTTGCAGTTCTTTTATTTGTTTATTATCTATGAACAGATAAATATGATTATGATAAATTGATTTAAAATAAATTAAAGCATTGTTTATTAGAGTGCTTAATCTACTATTAGACCGCAGACATGTACCTATGTTGTGTATTTTACTTATATAAATGAAATATATTCTGGAAAACGCAGTAATTTAAAACTTTTCTTTGAAAAGTTTTGGTTTTTTATTATCTGTTTTTTTATTATTTGGTATTTTATTAGAAATTTAAATATATGAGGTTAAAAAGCTTAATTTGTTGAAATTGGTAAAGAATCCGCGAATAGCAGTTCAAAGTGTTTCTTATTACCAGATCGTTCGTATGCATTTGATCATTGTAAAAAACGAATGTAGTTTTATCGGCCTTCGTTTTCAACTACAACTAATTTTATGTTTTTTCAAAGTGAAGAAAACTTTACATGTTTGTTGATCAAAATCAATCTTGAACATGTGCCAAATATCCCTTTATAATTAGGAATAGCGCACAAGTTTCGAACGTTCACGTCGCCCGATCTTAAACTAATGTATAAGAACAATAAAAATACTTCCTTGGTGAGATAAACACAAATCTGGACATTGTTCGAATTCATGAATATGCATATTCTGGACCGACACGAACAGTTCATTTATGTACAAATTATAAAATCGTACAAGACAGACTCCGCGTCGTTTATCACCGGATATTGTCAGTATCTTTTAAAATACGGTAAGTTCCTTTTGTGTTATTTATGAAGGGCATTTGAAAAGAATTTTTTAGCGATGCGATTCGCGTATCATGCTAATGCAGAAATGCCTTTTTTGCTTTAAATATGCGAGTGTTAACAAATAAATCATGCTGCGTAATATGTTTTTATTCTCGGACCAGCAGTCCCTATATAAATTGACAACTAGTTTAAGTACTAAAATATTGCTATCATTTTTCTGCCATCGAGATATATTGATTAAACTTTCAATAAATAATGGAGGTAATAGATAGCATGAATGGAGGTAATATAAGCTTGCGTGAAAAAATCAATTATGCATCCTGCAGAGTCAAAGAAGATGCACAGGGATTACATTATATCATGATGGCTTACCATAAAGGTAACTATAACATGATTAACAAATAATAAATAATATGATGAAAAATAAATTCCAACATGAGAATTCTGAACATTGATATCAATAGCAAATAAATATTTAAGTATGCTATAACTATGTATAAAATAATTCAAGACAACACTGAAGAACAATTCATAAAAATACTGGATCAGTAGTGAACACTTGTTATAAATAAAATATAAATTCGCTTTTGTACATAATTCTTAAATAATAAAATGTGTTAGATATTTTAAACCAATAAAAATTTTGTCTTAATAATATATAAAAAAAATTACACTTATTTTTTATTTATTATTTCAATAATTAATTAATTAATAATATACCAATAATATTTATATTTTATCAGAAATTAAATAATTAATTAAATATTGTCTATAATCTAGATGTGATAAATCAAATCACCCTTTACAAAGTCAATTATTTAAAATTGAAAAATTTTGATTTCCTAGTAATAAAATATAAAATTGTAGAAATAAATGTTTGATAGTGGATCATATTGGATAATATATGCTCATTATATTTTATTATATATGTGGTGCTCTTTAGGCAAATTAAAATTCTGCGGCAAAATACATATTCATCCAGCAATTCGCGAGTATAGAAACATAATATTAGAAATTATATATAACATTTTTAATTCATTCATTGTACTATATGTATATACAAGTAATATGGATTTATTTAAAATATTTTTATATATATATATATATATATATATAAGTTATGACTTAATTAATATAAAATTTATATAACAAAGTTTGTTTATAAGTTTTTTAATACGCCTTTTCAAGAATGGATGTCTTGCGATCTAATCTAGAGGAATTTGTTCCAAAACAATCTGTAAAACAAAATATTTTTAATGATAATAAATAATAATAAATAAATCAATATATTTGTTAAAAAATCAAATGCTTCACAAAACTTTAAATAAAACCATTTAGTTAGTAAAAATTGACGTAAATTTAAAAAATAATGTTAATAAATCCAATTAACAGAAAGCAGGATATCAAGACATTGTGTGAGTTCCATGTTAATTTGAACTAAAATTATAATTTTGTTTAACAAAAATGCGCAATCAGGTATAGAGTGTTAAATTTCTTATAACTTTAACACGTTAGTTCCATGTTAGTGCATAATGCATAAGACAAACTTTGTCCAGTGTGCGAGAGGCCGATTTAGAAAGATTTAATATTTAAATAGGTCATCATGGTTAAGAAGTGTTTAATATGTTTCTTAATAAGAACATATTTACAACAACATAAGAGTTGAAATTAGAATTTGAGTATGCCATTTGCATCAGCAAACAATTTTGCTCAATAGGAATAAAAAACAAAGGATTTTCCGAGATTAAGACATTTACATATCTAAAATGCACAACGATAACTATATCAAATAATGAAATACATGATCTTCTGTTCTGTATATATAAAAATATTTCATAACTAAAATGACGTTCTTTTAACTATTTTGAGAAATATTTTTGTCCCATTTCTTTTCATCTCAAGGCATCCAATTAGTCCAGTAACATAATAACAAATTTTCAAATGTTAGATTATACATTTGTCTACACGTTGCGGCAATCAACTAACATTTGGCAGAAATTAGAAAATTTTAATTATGTAAAGAATAGTTAGGTAATGTACGATATTTTAGAAGGTAATGTACGATATTTTAGAAGGTAATGTACGATATTTTAAAATTTTGTTATGACTTTTTAAGGGGCACAACTAGTGTAACCGCCTAAAAAAAAGGTGATTTTTGGGATTTTATATTAGAAAAATTACTCTATCAATCATTTCAAAATTTAAGGAAAATATTCATACATGTTTTAAGAATACATACTAAAATTTTTGAAGAAAACAATTAAATATTTATAAAAAGGCCCTTAACTGCTGCAGTGATCCCGGCTTTTCTACGTGGATGAAATTAAAAAAAAATCTGGTTAAACTAGATAATATTGTCTGTAAAATGAACTACGATAAAGAAAAAAAATCAAGAATTGACAAAATGACGGCGTTTTTTTTAAAAAAAAGTCGGATTTTACTCAAAATTTTGGTCGTTTTTGGACTGCCAAAATTCGATTTTTGATCCGATCAAAAAAACGATAGTTCATTTTACGGAGAACTATATATAGAACATGTAAAAAAAATTGATAATGATCGGATCATTTGTTTTTGAGTAATCAATGCAGCAAATTCGTAAAATGCTGTTTCGAGAAAAACGCGTTTAAAGATTAAATGATCGTTATACAATATACTACATATATACTCTTTAGATGGCTGTAACTCAAAAACTATTTAAGATATCGATTTAAAATTTTGGTATGTTATTTTTCAAGGTATAACCTATCGAAATATGGAAAAATTGAAAATTCGATTTTTTGAAAATTTCACACTAGTTGTGCCCCTTAAATCGTACAAAAGGGTGTAATCGTGCGCCACTTGGCTAACCTTTTGACACATGCCGCGGTAGATGTCGTCTGTGTCCCAAGGGCCGCGTTCGGGAAGCGCGATGCCGCGCCTCCTCAACTCCTGAACGCACTCGGTCAAATCCATGGCCGCGAGCGGGTCCAGGCTGGCCGCTCGCACACGAGACACCAGATACTCCACATAATGTCCCCTGAACAGACCGCAAGCACCAGAACGAAAACACATGCGGTTAGTAGAAATAATGGTAATAACAATCGAATTCTGAATTTATGGCAGAATTTAGAGACATAATCGAAGGTAAAGATTTTGACTGAGTGCCCTAATTGCTATGTGCCTAATTTCTGTTACTCGTATGATTAAGAACGACGAGTAGTACTATACTACTGTTTTTTTTTTCAAATAATATAATTAGCTTTTTCTTGAGATTCAATATCAATTTATATTATTTAATTATATAAAGTTTGTGGCGAGCATGGGTCACTTAGTAGTGTGTTTGATTAACACGATAGAGATCTTTGGATCGAATCCTGCTAATGACTTAGAATTTATGAAAAAAATATGTGTAGTTAAGTAGAAATTGAATAAAAATTAAGAAAAATAGGAATTACAAAATTCTTATAGCTGAATTGTATCAAGAATAAGAAGAAAAAATATTATTATTTCTTGATAATAAAAAAATAAAAATGAAGGAAAAAATGGAATGAAGATAGAAGTTGAATAGAATTAGAAATTTGATATGAAAAAGCAAGAATTGAAGAAAATAAGAAGAAGAAAAATTAAGAAGAATATAGAATAAGATATATATAAATTGAATATGATATAAAAATTAGAATAGAATGTAAATAAATAAAGATGTTGTAGGTGGCTAAATGCTCACAGTACGCGTGGCCAAGTGAAATTTTAAAAAAAAATTATATGAAGTTGAGCCAATAACTTGGCGTAGCTAAACAAACGAATAGACCGACGTAAACTCATTCTCAAAGTACCAAATTACAAAAAATAAGTATGAATTCTGGTTTCAAAAATTTTCGATAAATGTGGATATTCTTAAATATTGATACTTTTTACTTCAACTAACAATATCTTTATTATACATTTATATTTTTTAGAAACTAATTATACCAATGTTAAATTTTTTTATTTTATTGGTTTCTTCTAATTACCAATGTTACATATATTCGAGATTTTCTTTAAACAAAAAATAGTCTAAAATTCTGCCAGATAAATAGAAGTATTAATTTTGAATATATAAAAAATAACTACGTATGCATAAGCTCAATCTCAACCCTCTGTTAATTTTTAATATGCATTCCGAATAAATTTGATTTAAGACCTGAATCAAACGTTGTTTATACAGTCCACCAGTTTTATCATAAGGCTTTGGTGGCAAACGAATGGCCGCACGTCGGACCAAAGTCTCGAGATCATCACAAGACAATATCGAAATCGGATCGATTGTGTGATGTCTTATTTCGCTACATATATATTCTAAATAGTGCATCCTGAAATTCATTTAATATATTTATTCAGCGAGGGATATCATAAAATAAAACATAACAAATATAAAATAACAATCTCAAAGAAATCTTGCAAAATTAAAAGTATACTGCGTTAACAAAGCGATTTACAAGAACTCGGCTTGCATGGGTTGCACTTTAATAAATTTCCTTTAAGAAAAATGATTTGTTTCATTCCTAATAATATTTTTTAAAATTTTAAAATTCAAAGGTAATAAGGAATCTAAGATTCTAGTGAGTAACCTTGTGGGCTAAAGTAGAGTATAATAACCACAGAACAGCACATAATAATTTGTACAATAATGCATTATATCAAAGATCAACTTCAGTGATTTGAAATTTTTTTTGAATAATTACCACTTCAACAAATTATAACAAAATAATATAACCATTCGCGATGAACGGTATACAAAAGTTTTTTGCATCTCGCATACAATTCTTTCTAATAAATTTATATAGACTTTACCTGCACAAGCCAGCTTGTCCAGGAAGAACATCAGCATTACAAACAGAATCAACTAGACCTCCTGGTGTTTCCTTTTGAAGTTGAACTTGACACTTATCCGGTCCATAAGAATTTTTTGCAACGCCGCCTACTGCTCCATCTTCATCTTTTGGCTGCTCCTTAGCAGGTGGTGGCTCTACATCGTATGGTATGTTGTTTATCTGACGGTATAAAAAAAGGTTATTTCAATGTGAATAAAATAAAAATACAAAAAAATAAAAATATTGAAACTGAAATCGTATGCTTGAAGGCAAGAAAATTATAAGTGTATAGTAAAAGATTTTATTTTAAATATAAGAATTATTTAATCATAACAGATTGGTTGTTAATTTGCTTGAAAAATATCGCTAATTTAACTTATTTATAAAAGAACTTTATAATTACTCTTAAATATCAATGATATATCACGAACTGTTTTCTATAATTTGATCAAACGTAAATGTACAATTATAAAAAAATAATACAATTTATTAGTGATATAAACGTAGAAGCATAAAAGGAGGTTAAATATTACAGATTACTATATTTAGATGTTTTAAACATATTGAGTGTGACACCAAAGAGTTATCTGTGTATTTAAGAATATATAATTAAATAAAAAACATATGAGAAATGTATCACATACATAAAAAAATAAAAATAGTAAAAAATATGTAAAAATGTACCGTGGCTACTGTAGTGTACTGTTGCATGCTACAGTATTTTTTTTTGTAAATAATCGTCTTTATCAAAAGCAATAAGATGGTCTTAAATTTTATATTTTTAATTAGCAAAATCATATCAAGTGTGAAATTCAATTCGAATTCTCCGATTGTGGTATATGCATGTTAATTTGTGAATTTCACATCAGGTGTTCACTAGCTTAATAGATAATATTCAGTACGTTGATATATAAAATAACGTAATAAAAATAATTGCATATAATATATATATATATATATATATATATATATATATGTATATATATAATGGCTAACTTCTGAGTTACAATGATGATATAAAACGCATAATAAAAATAATAACGTAATAAGTTCTTAATCATCTCTAGCAAGCATTTTAGCTCGCTAGAGATAATTAAAAACTTGGCAATTGAGTAAAAAAACACAAATATATAAACCCAATAAATCTATTTATAATATATAGTTGGTTGGTTTTGTACTGAATCCTACCTTTAGAAGCCTCTGAAGCTCATGGGGTTCTTTATCTCGAAGATAGAACAGACAATTCCTCGGATGATGGGCGTGCAAACCCAATTTTCCGCAATAGGCCGAAACTCCACATTTTGCTCCCATAGTAAACGGTTTTCCACAGCCACAGCAAAACTCATATTTACACTGGCTGCATGTAAAATGCATACAACCTCCTCTGGACAAGGCATATCTGAAATTAGATAACAATGAATAATGCCTGAAAAATAAGTTTACCATTCTTACCAGAGTTGACAATAATCATACGTCTCAATAAAACTATTTATGAAGTGGAACTATATTTAGAAGAATTACCTAAATTTGCATTTGGGACAATCGATGCCATGATCCCGCAAGTGCCTCGCCACACCTTCGGCTTGCACATCTGGGTCATTAGCTTCCTTCCATTCCGCAAATTTTTCACAGGTGATTCCTTCGTGTTGTTTCTCCCACTGATGATAAAAAAATTCCATGGAATATTTGAATACAAGTGAAATTAACTGCACTTTGCAGTTTGAGGTCATTAGACCATGTCCATAATAATTTTACAGTTTTCAGTTTGCAAAATAAATATAATAAAATATTTATTTTATATACATTTCCAATGAAAATTATACATTCAATCATTAATGCGAATTCCTTATAAGTGATCGTAAATATTAAATTATATACATTCGGATATTAAACATAATTAACGCTTTTACAATATAACATAATTAAGCAATATATAGTATAAATTAGATTATGTATTTGATTTTCACATTACAAAAAACAGAAACGATTAAGATAAACTTATTCACTAAAAGTTTTGCACTAACATTAGAAAAAAAAGACACACTAATTTCAGGCATCGCATTTACAATTCAGTTAAAGGTTTAAAATTGCATATTTGTACTAAAAACTACACGAAAGAAAGTAACTTCTAGTACGAATGAGACTAAATTTTTCTATTACAAACGTATAACATTCTTCATCATCTCAAACCTTACTTTCGTCAAAGTTTTCGAATAAATATATTTATATCTACGGTATATAAGGCTTCTTATTTCATATCGATGAATATATACCAAATAGTTTGACAATTATTTTGCTTCAGAGGATTGTTTCTGATATAAGGATTATATAAGGTTAAGAAAGCGGAGCTAGTGATACCAAAAAAAAATTGGAACTAAAAACTATGTAAATGAATGTTGATTAATTATGAGCTATAGATGGTAAAAAATTAAAAAAAAAACATACATCTACATGCAGAACTTACAGGTCTTCTACATTGTGCACAAGTAACTGATCTGCAATCTGGGCAAATTAGCCTTTTATGACGCGGATGAGCAAAAAATCCAGAAGAACACTGTAAAGACGTAGTTTCATATATAATATTAGTCCAAATTTCATTCATAGGAAGTGAAAATTTCATTCATAGAAAATGAAACAAGTTTACTAAATATTATAAATAAAATTTTTATATAAGTGTGCCGTACTGACCTTAACACACCATTTGAAGTTAGGATCTTGCATCAAAGTTCTGTCTCTTAGTTTCCTTTGAAATAATTCATGAACTTCGGTATCCAATATACTTTTTAGCAATATGTCTAAATGTGAAAAATAATCTAATATATCATCTTCATCGGTGTTGGTAAGATCTGGGTCCTTGCAAAATGGGCATGTGCAATCTGTGATCGCTCTGTCAGTAATTTGTATCGTGAAGTAATTTTTGGCACATTCCTTACAACATCTATGGACACAACGCAGCATTGAAACCATCTATAAAAATAAAAATAATAAAAAATTATATATATATATATATATATATATATATATATATAATCAAAAAATACATTATTTCAGAAATAATGTTGATCTACAATGTTTTACATTTTTACTTATATAAATGAAAAAATTAACTATCAATAATGCAATTTTAAATTTCCCGTAGGATAGTTATAATAATGAGCCGCAAATCGAAAATGAAAATTTTTGCATATCTTCACGTTTTGAAAGTTTCTGAACATTTTGGCATACCTCAGAAAAAATGGATGCGTGTGTGTATGAGTGTGTGTGTGTATTTTGTGTCCGCATTTTTTTGTTCACGTTTTCGGGCGCACGGATCAACCGATTTGAATGGTTCAGAATTCAAAGTTTTGAGAGAACGGATTTATCCGATTTGAATAATCCAAAAAACATGACTTTAGTTTACCAAGCTAATTGTGCAAAAAATGGCAGTTTTTGAGAAAACTAAGTATCCGATTTGAATGATTCACAAAAATTTCTGCTTGTTTTGACAAAATAATTACAAGAAAAAAATATATTTCAAAATTCTTTTTTTTCTATTTTTTTTTGTGTATCGAAAATAATTCAGATTTTAATTTTAATTCTGGCTAAAGTTCTAAAGCTCACTTATATACTTTAAATAAATAATTTTAACTTTGTAATTCAGTTCATAAAATTCTTATTACGGAAAGTTCCAGCAATTTGCCTTAAGGCACGATGCCATACACAACTAGTTATATTATTCAAAGCAAAAATAACAATACAATAAATACAATATTTTTCGCTATGATATTCATATATTTTAATATTGCATTACAGCACAGATTATAACTTCTATTAGCGTAAATTCAAAAATTTACAATAATAATCTGTTATATTATGCTTAACATAATAGTATAACATCAAACAGGCCATAATTAGTATTCACATAATTAAATTATTTATAAAAATAGCCTTTTAAAATTACTTCTGTAATAAGAAATTTCAAGTATAAAGATGACGGTGGCCAAAACTAACCCAACGGCAAGTACAAAAAATGCACCAAATAAATGCTTCATTCTCAATTGAAATGCTGGTTTTCTTTCCTCTTTATCTAAATCAGCTTTTTTAGTTTGATCTGACTTTCTTAACACGCTGCTAGCCCAGAATTCAAATAATCCTGCAGATTTACAGTTCAATATCAATTCATTAAATCTGTGTTTCAGAGGGAATCCTTTGACCATCAACATTTCAATAGGTAGAGTTATTATATTTTCAGTAAAAGTGAATACTTTTGAATTGCCATCGAGATCTCGATACAAGTCTTGTGTGTAATCTAAATATGATCTGCTAACTGCAATAGCGCGATCACGACCATTTGCCACTCGCATTAGACAAGGATAAATAGTTTTGCAAAATTCATATCTTTCTGTAAAAGCTTTATCTTCTGATACATTATAATATTTGAAATATACCAATGTTTGTTCTTTGAAACTATATACCAATCCAGATTTAATTAAGTCCTTTGCATTATTTAACTGCGGCTCCATCAATGGGGATGAAAATGAATGCATTAAAGCAGTTTGAAATAAAACTCCTACATGTATTGAATAAAATACCCAAATTAACATAAAACTCCTTAAAATACAAAAACGTGGTTCTATACAAGTATTATTAAATAAGGCTATTGCCAAAACTGCAATCAACGAACTCGAAATTGATCGAAATAAAGGAGGTTCTGGCTTGTTTTTAGAAAGTAAATATACTAATAAACATGCTATTGCTATTACTACCACACAAGAAATCATTGTTCGGGGTGTCATTAAAACGAGATAATTCATCCACTTCGAAACTGGCTTGGAAATAGGAACTGTCCAGGCAATCATATCTTGCAGATAGGGCACCGAATGATCAAGATATTTATGCCTTATTTCACTTGGGTACATTGCACCAATTCCAACGTCAGATTCTCTTAAAATTAGTTTTTTAATCAAACCTGTTGATGTGCCATTGGAATAAATGTATCCGAAGTTTTCCGGCTGTTCAAAACTATAAAATTTAACAGTGAGATTCATTTTATGGGCCAATACTTTAATAAGCAAAACTTCATAACCGTTTCTTAAATCGATCTCTGATTCATCATTAACAATTTTATCATTGGAAGATAAAACGTATGGGGGCCATATCACTGTTATAACTCGCAAGGGACAGCCGTGCATATTTCTTGGAATTTTTTCGGGAAACAATACAGTATTCTTTTTGAATTTACCAAAATCACAAGAATCTATCTCTTGAATGTTATTAAAATTAGTTCCGCAATCATTATTTTCATAAGGTAACCATATGAATATATGGACTCTAGGTTTGAATTGTTTTTGTACCAATAATACAAAGTTTATTACGTAGAATTGCCATAAAGTTTCAACGGATGATGTCAAGAAATTTTCCCACTTCTCCGATTCATAAATAATTATTATAAATTTAGCATGAGCATTCCAGGACGAAGTATTTCTTAAATGAAATAAATTATTATCAAGTTCAATTTCCGAACTTACAAGTAAAATGTAACAGTTGGCAGATTCAATAAACTTGCTATTATAATAATTTTTCTCGTTCATCACTTTGACTAAAATATTCCAATATCCTTGACGATGTAACTGTTGCAGAAGTAGGCGATTTGAAGTCCGGGAAACCGAAGACATTTTACTATTATTGTAAGATCCTAATGAGGTCGAATATAATAACACTGAATCGTATGGAAAATATGTTAAACTTATTTCCAGTGCACAATTTGCTACACTAGAGTGCACTTCATATTCGTGAATAGGTTTCTGTAATGTGTAAATAGTGGTAGGAAATAGAACAGCAAGAATGCATAAAAATAATTTGGAATTAACGTCCATGTTTCTTCGAATATGTATATCAATTTTATTACGAAATAAAAAAATGAACTATATGTTTTACTAATGATGATTCAAAGAACAATATAGTTTAATAATGAAAATCTAGCCTTTGAAAAAATGCAATTTAAAATCATGAGTAAGTATATGCAAACAATCTGTCCGTTTTGTAAGAGCATACATTTTAATCGCTGATTGCGTTTTCAAATATCAATATTGATGCACATTAAAATGATTGAAAATATAATTACGGTATGTCAATTTATCGCATTTGAGGATTTTGTGAACAAAGTCTTAAAAATTGTCTTCCAATTTATTTACAAAAGTCGACGACAATGCAATGTATTTTTATAAGAAACTACAGTTTTATTCATTGCAGACCACCAAACGAAAAAAAAGTAGCAAAAACCAAGATTTTAAACAAATTATTGTTTTAAAACTATAGTGAAAATACGTTGATATTAATACATATTATAATTAAATACGTAAACTTATATATAAAAATGGAGCTCTCGATCAAATGATTCGGTAAAACTCGAAAACGGCTAAACCGATTTGGCCAGTCTTAGTCTTGAAAAATTCATGCTAATCAGTAGGTTGTCGGAAAGGTGAGATATTATTTCAAAATCGCGTAGTTTGAATAAAACAATGGACGGTGGCTAATACGTGAAATGTCAAACGTTTTTGACAGATGATGTTCTATTATGTATAATAGGATGTTTTACGTGAATATTATTTAATTATGATTAAATTGTAGTAAATAGTTTTGTTCGTAGTTATATTTATACACAAAAACGTTATTAAACGAGTTACAAGTGTTACTTAGAAACTCAAAGTATCAACTTTTTTGAAATGTTAATATGAAAATGCACTTTATGGCATATTTTTCTCAAACACGGTGCTCGGAAAGATCTCATTTGTATAATTATATACTCATTGGTATTTATAAAACATTTTCTAGGTTATATAATTTTTTATTTATGTTATTTAAATTCAGAAACTAAATTTGGTATCGATCAAAGGGAACCTCGCCCTGCTCTACATATATACTTTTTATTAAATTTACTTTAATTCATAGAATGTTACTTGAAACTTTTCAAAAAGCAGGTCAAAGAAGAAATACTTTATTCATTTTCTTTCTATCTCTCCTCGCAGAAATTTGAAAATTTTATATAAGCTCAATAGTATTATTTACAATTATACACAAAATCCAGAATCCAAAAACTTGAAACGTAATCAATAAGTCAAAAGACCAAGAAAGACTTGGATTGGATTATACAATGTTTTCTATAAAAAGTGTATGAAACTTCCAGTTTGATTGTATTGACAAAATATAGACAAACTAATGGGGTTTATTGTTTTTATAATATTTCATTGTATACAGCATTCAAACAACACATCGTTATACACTTATCATTATTAATAGTATTAATATTTTTGATTCTCTAGAAATTGTTCAGAATATACCTTACTTAGCAAAACAATGTTTGCCGGGTCAGCTAGTTTGTTAATAAAAACGATTGAAAAATTTACACATTTAGATATATTTTATATACGTTTTATATAAAATAATGTTTCTAATTTTCATACTTAATTCATAAAAAAACTATAGGGCATTATTTATGTGGCACACATATTTTATTTTTTAATTGTTCTTAAATATGTAATTAGGATATTATTACAATCATATCCTAAACAATAATATCCCAATACCTGGGCTTCTAAAATGGCTAGTATATTTCAATGATCAAGTTTTGAATAATAATGTTTCTTATTATTCATGCCAATTAGTTATAATTTACCTGGTGCATAGGATATTTTCCGGTGCAGAGTTCGCACTCCTGTTGGAGAAAAGCTATAGCAGCATCCAAAGTCCCACATTCCCTTGAGGCGTACAAGGCCGACTCAGGGTCGAATTTCAGGTCAATCAGGGTAACGGCAAGTTCAGCTTCTGAATAACTTCGAACGAGCCCTTCCGCCAAGAACCTTCTTGCCTGACGCTGATTAAGAATAACAGATTAATAATTTGGTCAAATGAAGCAGAATCTGTTAGAAAAAATGCAGTTTGCCATAGGAATAAATAAGCTATCTTTCATTCAAAATTATTCAATCAAGCACATGCCATTAAACATCTAGTTTTTATTTTGAATAATATTATATAACTATAACTTGTGTTGTGACATTTTTAGAGCAAATGCAGCAAAACGTTTTTTTTTTTTTTGAAAATGTTCCTATTTTTATGAAAAAATATAACCTAAACTTAGTTCTAAGAGCAATATACTTAACAAAGTATTTATTATAAAAATTATATTTCTATCGTATATAACGTAGAATTTTTTATTTGCTCATTTAACTTCTAGTTGCGATTGCTTTACAAAAACTGATATAAAAGATTTTTATTTTCTATCAATATTTGAAATTATTCTATTTGATTTGATTAACTCCAGTTTAGAGTTTACAATAGAAATAAATACAATAAAGTAGTACAATCAGCTTTCATTATCGTATGATTGATTTTTTTTCTAATATTAGGTCTCCTATAAAAATTGCATACACACACCCATATAAAATAATTTTAATTGTCAATAAAAATCATACAGAAAAATTTAAATATACTGGGTCAAAAAAGAACAAAAAGGCATGTGAAAATATTATGCTGTGAATATGTCAAATTTCAGAATTTATAGCAATATTATTTCTAAAATAAATTATTTCACTATCAAAAACCAAATACAAAAGTCTTGATGTTATTTGTACGAAAACAGTTTGTAATATAAGTACACTTGTACAGTAAAAGCATCTACAAAAATGTAGTTATATATAAAATTCATAATTATTTATTATAAATTTATAATTTATATTATAATATTGATATAATACTGGCATGTGCGACTTCGATTGTATAATTTTGTCGAAAAAAGGGTGATTTAATATATGATGTTGAGTTTCAAATGAAAAATATCACAAAATTTATATTTCTTCCACTCCTAATACTACTGACATACATGCATATATACATATATATATATATATATATATATATATATGTGTGTGTGTATATATATATAAAATTTTGGTAATGAGTAAAATACTTGATACTAACTTTGATAAAAAACTGGTAATGAGTAAAATACTTGATACTAACTTTGTCAGTTTAATTTTCTAATTTGCGTTAAGTTCGGTTAAGAAAAGTATATGAAAATACTTGAACGATTTAATATACAGAAATTGATAAATAAATCAAAAATTTAATTATTATGAATGAATTAACAAATCAAAATTATGATTACACCAAATCCAGCTATTCTACTATTAAATGTACTATATTAATATATTATGAGCTAACACTCTCAGAAATCATACCTCCGTGGGTTCGCTATTAATGATAATTTGAGCTGTTTCTAATATGCTTTTCCATTTCTCTTCCTCATTATTGTTATCTATTTTAGAAGGAACAGTGTTTGTTTGACTTTGTGTCTTTGGCGAAGGTTTAGGTAATGGCTCGTCATCTAAAATATCTTCATCGCTAAAACACGATTCTCGAAAATAATTATTTTTCTTTTTATTGTCTGCATTCGATACATTTGTAGGAGATTTGCTAGAACCATCTTTGATAGTTGATGATGTTTGATTTGATGACCCAGAGTCATTATTTATAGCGACAACTGTTTTGGCAGGATCATCCTTGACGACTGTTGTAGGACCTTTGAATGATTTTACGGAAGGCTTAATATCTTGCTTTACAGACCCTAATGACGGCGGACTATTCTTAACAATACTGTTCTTCGTGTCTATTTTCTTTGGTATATTTGTAGCTTTATTATTTTGTGCATTATTTGCAGTCTTTGGAATGCTGTTTGCTTTATTCAACAGGCCTTGTTGCAGTCTTTTTATGTTAGAAGTTGTACCATTTATAGATTTACTTTTATTTCTAAGATTTTCAGTCTGTTTTTGAGGTGCCGTTTTGGATTCCTCATTGTCTGTAATTAATGAATTTGTTGGTTGCTGTTGATTGTTCAAAATAAGTAAAAATTCATCACTTGTATTTTCGGCATTCACTACATTATTTGGAAATTCGTCAATATTTTGTTTCATTTCAGCAACAGTTTCCTCGATATTTTGTACGATATTTTCAACTTGATCAGTTTCATTAACATTTATATTATCTTTATCATTATTTTGAAATTCATCTATATTCTGTTTCATTTCAGCTACAGTGTCATCGATATTTTGCACTATTTGATCGACTGTTTGTGAAGAAGTTATTTTAGAAACTTGTTTATTTTCTTGTAGAATTAATTCTGGGACTACGTTTTCTTCAACTGATTTATTATGACCATTGTCATGCATGTTAGTATTTTTACTACTTGCAATAACTTGGGTCGAAGTATCGGCATCAGAATTTGACTTTTTTTCATTACTTCCGTCTCCTGGATTGAATTCAAATTTTATATCGCTAATTAATACAGTATTAGAATCCAATGTTTCAACAACTTTGTTATTTTTTGGAGAAGAATCCGCTAGATTTTGTTCTGTGGAATTTGATTGCATTACATTTTCGTTTATAGAAGGTTCGTAAATTTGACCAGGTTCTGCATCTAAATGCTCGATTGCTTCGCTGAATTCTTCGTCACTGTTTTGTTCTGTTCGATCAGTTTGGTTTTCGCTTTCTTCTTCTTCTTCTCCGGTTTCTTCTTCTCCATCGTCTGTATAACTTTCTTCTTCAGGATCATACTCTTCTTCACCTTCTTCCAGACTGCTAAAAATTTCAGAACCACTTTCATTTGACCACTCACTTCCTGAATATTCCGTGCTTTCATAGCTCCCTTCCGAGTTACGTTCACCCTCTGATACATAGCTTGCCATATCTGAGGTTATTTCATCTTTCATTTGCTTTATTATCTTTTGCGTATCTTCTACAATCTTTGAAAGATTTTGCTGTTTATTAGATAGAGGACTGGGAACTATGTCTCTATAACCTGATTCGGTATTTATTTGTAAATTTTCAACTGATTTTTCTTTGATTTTTTTATTTTCTTCATTTTTTGTATTAGCATTTTCATTTTCTTCTTCATAATCTTCTTCGGAGTCGGATCCACTATAAAGCTCCCCTTCCGAATCTTCAGAAGTGTTAGATACAATCACTTCGATAATTTTGATACTAGATCTAGAACTTTCTTTCTTTATTTCTTGGGGACTTTGCAAATTATCATTATCTTCGGGTTGAGCAATGTTCACTTCATTACTTTGATCATTATCTTCGGATTGCGTAATGTTCACTTGATTAATTTGCTGATTATCTAAGATTTCCGATTTATTCTGCGCCTTTTCGACAATATTGTCAATTTTAATTTCTGTTGTTAGTGGTGATTTGTCGATAGTATGATCAGGTTCTAGTTTTGAAATTGGACTAGGATTCGAATTCAATTGACTGCTATTATCTGATATTAATGGCTGATTAATATTACCCTTATAGACTTTAGTTTTAGGAATTGAAGATGTTCTCTTAATGGGAATTTTAGATTTTGATCTGAATGCTTTTTTTGGGAAGTTGCTTGAACTATTCGTAGCTTTGATTTGGTCAGTATTAGATGAGGTAACCATATTATTTTTTGATTCTGTTCCGGATGGTATAGCTTGAGATGTTTCTTTATTTAAACCTACATTTACATTCGTTTTTTCCAAAGTTGAATCAGCATTCAGCAATTTTGGTGTTTCCTCCACTTGTTCAATTGTATTTTGAATTTCTTGAATTTCATCTTTTATTATATTATCATCTTCAATTTTTTGGGTATCATCATTATTCTGAACAGTATTAATAGAGCTTTTATTCAAAACTACATTTTCTGATTGATTTTTGTTTCTAAGATTTTCATTATAATTTTCGTTCTCAGTTGTTAAGATAGGAGAAACAATTTGCTGAATTTCAGTATTTTCTATTGGGTGTCTATTATTAGAAATTAATTCCGTTTCAGTATTTTCTATTGGATGTTTATTATTAGAGGGTGGTTGTGATATTGCGGAGTTATTTTCTTTAGATTTACCTTTTTTCTTATTACGTTTCTTTGTGGTATTTATTATATTATTAGAAGTACTTGATGCTAATTTATCTGTAGATTGTGATTTTAATTGTACAGTAGAATTATCAGAAACAGCGCTCAAACCGTTGTCAGTTAGTAATGTTGAAGTACCAACTTCAACTAATTTATCATCATCATCATTTGTTTTTATTGGAATGCTATCCAAATTAATGTTACCCTTATTAACAAGATTTTGGTTATTACTTACATCAATTTCACTTTGAACGTCTGGATTGCTGCGTTTATTAACATCTAAGGTCATTTCTTTATCTAACTGAATTGGAACTTGAACTTGAGTCTTTTCTGAACCGTTAGACATCTTCTCTTGGAAAGGCTTATTTTCAATTTCAATTTCATTCTGAATAGAACTGCTAGTGTCTAAATTATTTGTATCAGTAACCATATTTTCTAAATTGCTATTATTAATTTCTAAGATTTTCTCTTCATTTTCTTGATTTTCAATTGAATCATTTAATTGTTCTTTAATTAAATTTTGATGTTTGTTGTCTTTATTTTCTTGTGTATTCAATAAATTTGTATCTTTTTGAGATATTTGCGACACGATATTTTCTTGTGGTTTTAAAACATTATCGGATTTGTAAGATTGGTTAGCTTCAATGGCGAACAGGGATGCCTGCAGATCATCAAGAATGTTTGGCAGAGTTTTTGTACTAGCATCTTCTTGATCAAATTTTTGTAAAATTTCGAAATTTCGTAACTCACCTTGTTCTGATGCATTATTTTGAGATTTTGCAACGCTTTCGGAGATTATGTTAGGTGCGTTACTCACCGCACGCGCCGAATCTATAGCGGCTTCCGAGGCGAGCATTTCCTTATCTGCATATTCACTGATGAAATCCTTTAGAGACTTTGAATCTGTTCAACATTAAATAAACCATACATATAATAAGAAGAATTAATAATTAATTATGATAAAGAGAAATAAAGTAATATTATAAAATTAATTTTGTAACCACAATACATAAACTGGTTTGGTAACTATAACTTACTTGATTCAACATTTTTCTGTATAGATGCTCGCCCCGGCTCTTCCGTTCTTTCATTGAAATTTCCCAATGCTAATTTATTCAACATATTTGCTTCATCAGTAGCCAAATTATTAACTATCATTGGGGGACTGTTAGCGCTATCGTTTTCGATACCAGCAGGTGGACCCCAGATCCTCATGAGAAATGGCTTCAACTGCGATTTATTTAGTTCCATAAGTGCTGCATCCATATCGCCATGATGAGCAGTTAATGAGGTGACTATATCTTCACGAGTGAAATTACCGCGCGACATTAGATCGGCGTACTAAAAAGTAATTACAATTTATAAAAAAAACATTAAAAACTATATAATAAAAAATAATTTGAGCTGCACTAAGCCATATAACACATATAGTTCCCTTCAAGAACAACTCTACCTTTTTTTGTCTTTGTTCAACGCATTCAGTTACAGCAGCCCACACATTTCCGCGGTGTAACCTCAGAGCTTCCTTCGCCTCATTTGCCGAAATGGTTCCAACTGTGTTTTCACGTCGCTCATGACCGTAATTTGTAGCCAAAGTTCTAACAGTATCAATCATGCTGCTCCAATTAGCTTTTAACCAAGCAACTGGATCAGATCCATCAGAACAATGAGCCAAGGCTGCTTGCAATTCTTCCGCTGTGTATTTATTCTGTTCGGCCTCCTATTGAAACCATAACTTAGTTCTCAGTAAAATATAATTACAGGCAAAAATCTAAGCCTGTTTTAAAGAAGTAACAGTTTTGAAGAACTAATAGTAAGTGTACATTTTATATGTATTTGTTTATCTTTTATGCTATCTGTATTTGTACTCCATTATTAAAATGTCTGTATTGTGATCGCAATAAAAATTATTGTTTCAAAGCAAAACAAATAAATCTTAGTCTTTGCTGATATTAATGTAACAAATACTGAAACTTCTAATAAATGTTGAAGTCATTAAAACTTTTGAGCTACTCCGTAACAGTATTTTTAAACTTACTCGTAACATCCGAACTAATTCCATCCCTTGCGATTTTATGACATCAGCTCGTCTTCTATTAATTAAGTCTTCCAATATACTATCTGGAGGTTGTGATTCAGCTCTAGTTCTTCTTGAACGGTCACTCTAACAAATATATTTTAAATGAGCAAATTTAAATTTTGTTTAAAATATTAATTTCATATTTTACTAACCCGTGAATATCCATCGGCATACGAATACTTTCTTTCCCTATACAGTTCAGGTTTTCTCAAATCAAGGATACTTCTATAATTCCTGGATGAATGATCTTGATATCTGGCGGCTATTGCTCTTTCTGCTATGGCCAAAATCTCATCATCGTATCGAGTAGGCGATAACTCTCTGGGAGGAGTATTTGGTAAACTCTGTAAAAATTACGCTTTAAAAGTATATAAGATATTCAACCAGAAATTGCATGAGATATCAGTACTCGTTAATAATAATTACATGCTTTTAAAAATTCGGGCGTAAAGAAATTAATTTACTAAGTATTTTGCATCAGTTAGATTACCTGTGTATCACTAGAAAAGGATTGCCTGCTTAACGATCTATGTAACGGAGAAGGAGCCTGACTAGATCTTCTAGACATGTGCATAGAATGAGATCTTCTTAAAGCTCTAGGAGTTCTAGAAGACCTATGTTCATCGTCATCTTTTTCTCTTGCAGCAGTGTGCGCTGGTAACTCATCATACGTCTAGAAACATGAATTTTATGTATATTTGCATTTTATGCATATTTTTTTAATAATACCTGTGTAGAAATACTTTGAGGAGGAGGGGAAGTTCCTGTACTTGTTGTTTTCTTGTAATCATTTCGTTGTATCATTATGGATTCTGTTTTGGAATCTAACTTATCGCTAGTAACTAAATCATTTACTATTTTATTAGATGTATTTGCAACTATTTCTCTTGGTGGTGATGTACCGCAGCTAGTAGATATTCGATCTGCTTTTTCAATATGAGTTTTGATGCGACTATTGTCATAAGCATCAGACAAACTATTTTGCACATGCTGCAATCTTGGAGATTCATCCTCGATCTTTTCTTCTTTAAAATCCCCTATAATTAATACCAAAATTTGCTTTTGTCTTATTTGTCAAAATGTTAATCGTGAAACGGTACTCTTCAGAACAATTGTGATTAAATAATATATACAAAAGAGAACTGTTAAAATTATGATATATAAAATCCCACCTTCTTACTTTTGTAACTATACAAGTGATGTAAAAAATACAATATTGTTTAGTTGTACTACACAAGTTTTATTTAAAATTAATATTAAAAAGTAACAAAAGTTTACATGCTCATAAATAAGTCAAATTATATTAAAATTATACAAATCAAATTTAAAATACAAAAGTGAATCACATATATTTAAAATGTATTATTTATAAGTAAGTTCCATTCTCAAAAATGATAAATATTGAAATATGACTTACAACTAATTACTATGTTCAAGAGTAGAAATAATTTGAGAAACTATTCACAAGATAAAGTATAATATTATTATTGTATTATTATGTATATTTTTTTAGATGAACTACAAGAATGCATGCACTTAAATAAATATGTCTGCGAAAAGGTTGATGAATTTGAACTTTTAATTCACTACTAAAAATGAGCTTAAGACTATATTTTATAATTTTAAATAATTAATTCGAAATAATGAATGAACAAATTAAATACTTCAATGTGATGTTTAATATAATTTTTACTCTCTTGCAATATACGTTAGTCGTAGTATTGTATATATACATGAATTTAAGTATGCGCAAAATAAAATCTATACATCAAATATACAATGCACAAGTAAATTTAAGCTGAAAGACATTAATTTATAAATTACGTTCTCTTTTCGTAAAAAATGTTCTGAATTTCAAACCGTTCCACAACTAACGTTCGAAAAACTTTTACGATACATTTGCAAATATCACTCAATTTCGTTTATTAGTAACAGTTCTTTATCACTACTGAACTATCACAACTTCACTTAGTGCCGGGCCAGAAAGATATTTTTCTGTTCCTACCTTTCTTCTTGCCATCGCTGCTATCTTCGCCAGCGCTCGTGATCTTCATCTGCTTTCCGAAATTTTCAGATAGGTCGTCTGGTTTCTTCTGCTTCGGATTTCCCGATGGAGTTTTGCAGCATACGCCACATATTGTTACACCTGCTTCATTAACAAATGTACAGTGCTCACATTCCCAATCGTGATCTGGTGGCGAAGGAGGCGGGCCTAGAGGTGTCATATCGTCTTCGACTTTTTGACTCACGGACTCGTTATCACTGGCCGAACTGACTACTTTTCGAGTTTGAGTATTATTTTTTCGCTGTGATTTTGCTGCATCACTGGCGACTGAAGCTTTCCGTCGGGTTTGACGGATGTCTTCCGAATCATGTTTTCTGGCATTTCTCGATCGTAATGATTCTCTTTCAAGAATTTCGTCATCGATGTCGTCTTCGAAGCTGCTTTGCGTCGTACTATTGCCGCGCGGTCTTCGTCTGGTGATAAAAAACAATAATAAAATACAGCATACTAATTGATATTTTTAACTTCCCGAAGGAGAAGTATGTGTGTGTGTGTGTGTGTGTATGTGAACAGATTTTTTGCAGTAAATCGACGTTTTCTCAAAAACGGCTGGAACGATTTCAAAAATTTAAAAGCCATTCGATGTATCTCGATGAGGACTATTATTTGTCAGTTTTATGCGACGATCGGCCAAGCCGTTTCTTTATAAATCGCAGAAAAGTGAAAAAAATTTCGTCTACGTTTTAGCCCGCAATTCTGAATCGATTTTGAAAATTCAAAAACCGTTCGAAAGATATTGATTGGGAATCGTGCTGATTAGTTTTTGGTACAGATCGGCCGGGCCGTTTTCTTGTAATAAAGTTTAAAAAAAAAAACACGATTTTTATGATTATTTTTTTGGCGGTAAATACCATAGTCTTCTAGATCATACTGAAATATTACGGCCCTACAACAACTCGTTTAGCTTTAAAAATTCGTCAAAGTTTGTAAAAATTAGTATGGTCTTCTTGACTTTTGTCAAAATTAGAACTTTCATCGACTTTTGCGCAAAAACGCCTGAACCGATTTCAAAAATTTAAAAACCATTTGATGTATCTCGATGAGGATTGTCGTTTCTCAGTTTTGTGCGACGATCGGCCAAGTCGTTTCTTTGTAATTTGACAAAAAGTGTTAAACTTTTCGTCCACATTTAAGCTCATTCTACCGAATCGATTTTAAAAAATCAAAAATTGTTCGAAAGATATTAGTTTTGAATGATACTGATTAGTTTCAGGTGAAAATCTACCGAGCCGTTTTCTTGTAATTGTAACTGTTGAAACAAAAATTGAAGCCGATTTTTATGGAACTTTTTTTGGCGATATATATCAATGTCTTATACAACTTATTGAAATATTACACCCTTATTAAAATGTAATTTTAAAAATTCACCAAATTTTAAGAAAATGAGTAGTTTTTTTGACGTTTGTTAAAATTAAAAATAGACGACTTACTTGGTATGACGATAGAGTTCTTGGTTTTATTGAACATACTGAGCCATTAAAGTTCTATGGAAACTGGTTCAATTATAATAATTGTTGATTTTTGAAAATTTACTTTTAGAAAATACTCCGAGTCAAAGTGTTCGTTCGTGTTCAATTATGTGTAATAAATCCACTCGGAATACTTTTAATCATTCATAAATTATTTTATTTTTTATTGATTAAGTCGATTATTCACACATATCGGGAAGTTCATGTAACTTGCCTCAAGGCTAAATACCGAACCAACTAGTTTCTACTTAATCAGATTACAAATTAACACTCTAAAGCTATATAGAATAATTTGTGCTAATTAGAATAATTGAAAAAATAAGATCCTTAAATTAATTAAAGAGATAAAAAATATATGTAAAAGAGAGCAAAATTAAAAACATAACGCATTTATATGAGTTATAATAAATTCAAATCCTTTAAAACAGTAAAGGACTAATTTTACTGCTCATTCAGAATCATTCCTAATGTTAACATATTGTACTTATGTTATGATATCACAATTCTAAATAAGCTAACCGAGAACTAAAACTCTCCCTCCTGTGCCTAGAACCGCGATAGGAAAGACGTTCATCCTGTTCATCATCTGATTCTTCATCGTCCGCCAAAACCATGCCTCCTGGCCCAACGTTGGTGCGTCCTGCACGTCTACTGGTGCGTGATACGTGCGATTTACGGGATTTTAGACTTAATGTTGGGGAAACTGGGCGTGAACTAGAACGTCGACGGGGTAATGTACCTTAAAAAAGAAGAAAGTGATAGATTAAAATAACATAATATGAAATATATTTGTTGAGATGAATATCTCATAAACTCATTATTGAAAAGTTTAATATTTTATCATAACAAGTAACATAAAAGGACTTTTAAAAGCAGCAGTTTCATAAATGAGTAACTATAAAGTTAGGAATTCTGAATGAATATGAAAATGTTGACTATTTTGACAATAGTAACATTTATTATCTATCAATAGTAACATTTATTGTCTATCTTACCATTATTTGGCATGCCAGGCATCATTCCCATTGGATAACCTGGGTACATAGGTTGTCCCCAAGGACCCATCCACATTGGAGCATGCGGATATTCCATTGGATGGTAACCTTGAGGCATCATATTCAAACTTAAGTTACTTCCGCTTAACTGTTGCGGTTGCTGTGGCCACATGCCGTGTTGACAGCCCATACAATTTAATTGGGCTAAAGATTGGGCCTGATTTAGAAAAGACAAAATGAATAATTGTAAAGTAAATAAACGAAAATATTTAGGGATAATTATTAATGGAAAGGAAACATTTAGGGATAATTATTAATCATATTTAAAAAATAATAATAATATTTTTTACTTATGCTCAACTTATTGCTAAAAATGTATTTATTGGTTAATAAGACAATAAATTATAAATCTCTAAAGCAGAATGATTTAATCCACTTTCATATATTATATCAATTTTGGTAAACTACTTAATATAAATGTATTTTTTGTAAAAACGGGCAGAAAGCATTCAAACCTCAATTACTTTATAATTCGATTTCCAAATATATATATATATATATATATATATATATATATATATATACTAGCAAACCCGACGAACTCCGTTTTGCCACCAGATGGTTTCGTGAGAAACATGAAGAAATTTTTGTTTGTTTTATATTTGAAAAGGAAAAATTTGATTTTATTACACAACAGTAATTTATTTCGATTACAAAAATGAAGTGTTTTTTAGTTGAACTTCTCTAAGTAAATTATAGTGAATCCGCAAATTATCCGTTTCATTGAAGTGCTTTTTGGTAAACCACATTTTTTGTTTTTTGGTCTGACGTTAACACAAACAAAGCGGATGGCTTTCCAACTCGTGAACAGGCAACGTATAACTGCCCATGTAAGAAACAATTTTTTTCTAAATAATCTATTTGAAATTTATCCCGTAAACACTAAGCGATTGGCCTTGCGACTTGTTATTGCGAACGCAAGGCGAACTGGAAATTGCAATCGTTTGAAGTCAAACAGAAGACCAGTCGGAATCATTGGTATGTCACCAAATCGTCAGCAATTTTTGATTGAATGGTGAAATTCAGTGCGTGTACATCATTATTCTTTGCGGCAAGAATTGCTCGTTGACTTAACCAAGCATAATTCTGATAACTCTCACTAATGTCATTACTCGAATTTTTAATTACGGTGCGTGAATTTCCAGCAATTTGTATTAAGGCACGATGCCATGCAACACTAATTTTCTTAGCTATAAACGTTGCGGAGCCCGAGACCTTTCCGACGAATGCAAAATTGTCTAAATCGGTTCGTGCGTTCTGGAGTTATTTCGTCAGGAAGGAAAACCCGACTTATTTATATATATATATATATATATATATATATATATATATATATAATTTGGAAATATGAACAAACAACACTCTTTTTGCACTAATTTATTAAATAATAATTTTCACAAACGTTTCGAGACTAGGTTTGTCTCATCATCAGTGTGCTATAATTAAAAAATTTTTTTATTATGGTATTAAAAGAACAACGTGCAGTGAACGACGTGTAATGAAAAACACAACATGCTAATTTAGATTTCCATATTTTAAAAATTTTTTAATTATAACACACTGATGATGAGACAAACCTAGTCTCGAAACGTTTGTGAAAATTATTATTTAATAAATTAGTGCAAAAAGAGTGTTGTTTGTTCATATTTCCAAATTAATATCTATTATCCACTCAGAATACATTTGTAATATATATATATATATATATATATATATATACGAGGTGTGTTCAAAAATTTTTAAATTTCGCGGGTCTGGAGTGTCTGATTGTCAAAATTTTTTTTTATTGTGTTGGTATACATGCCCCTAAAGTATGATGAAATTTTCAGCTATATTCACTGTTTACTTTGTCTGTGGTAGTCGCTAAGGTTCGACGTGTTTTTCTGAGCTCGGCGATTTTTACAATGGAAGAATTGAAAAGTCAAAGAATTTGTATTAAATTTTGCGTAAAAAATGAAATAAAGTGTAACAAAGTGTGTGAAATGTTACAAAAAGCCTATGGTGAGTCTGCTATGAAAAAAACAAGTGTTTACGAGTGGTATAAGCGTTTCCAAGATGGCCGCGAAGACGTTGAAGATGACGAACGCTCCGGTCGACCCAGCACGTCAACAAACGATGAAAATGTGAAAGAAGTGGAAAAAATGGTTATGAATGATCGCCGAATCACAATTAGAGAAGTTGCTGATGAAGTTGGCATATCAATTGGCTCATGTCATAACATTTTTTCAAATGTTTTGGGCATGAAACGAGTGGCAGCAAAATTCATTCCAAAACTGCTAAATTTTGACCAAAAAAGCAATCGCATGAACATCGCTCAAGAGCTGTTAAATGACGTCAACAACGATCCAAGTTTGCTTGAAAGGGTCATAACTGGTGATGAAACATGGGTGTACGGTTATGATGTCGAAACCAAAGCCCAATCGTCCCAATGGAAGAGCCCAGGTGAGCCAAGACCGAAAAAAGCACGTCAAGTTCGATCGAATGTCAAGGTTTTGCTTACTGTTTTCTTTGATTATAACGGCATAGTGCATCAAGAGTTCTTACCACAAGGTCGTACGGTTAATAAGGAGTATTACCTTGAAGTGATGCGACGTTTGCGTGAAGCAATCCGAAAAAAACGCTCCGATTTATGGAAAAACAATTCATGGCTGTTGCACCACGATAACGCACCTGCTCACTCGTCGTTGCTTGTTCGTAATTTTTTGGCCAAAAACAATACCGTAGTAATGCCCCAACCTCCATATTCACCAGATATGGCTCCGTGTGACTTTTTCCTATTCCCAAAGTTGAAGAGACCCATGAAAGGACGGCGATTTTCCTCGATTGAAGAAATAAAGGCCGAATCGCTGAGAGTGCTCAAGGACATATCAAAAAGTGAATATCAAGGGTGCTTCGAAAATTGGAAAAAACGCTGGCATAAGTGTATTATATCTGGGGGGGACTACTTTGAAGGGGACCACATTCATGTAGACGAATAAATAAATATTTTTTTGAAAAAACGAAAATTCCGGATACTTTTTGAACAGACCTCGTATATATATATGTAGATATATATATACACACACACATATATATATATGTATATATATATATATGTGTGTGTGTCTGTGTGTGTGTTTGTTTGTGTGCCATTAGTGAGCTAAAAACGATTGAATTATTTTAATTGTCTTCTATATTTAGAGTATTATATTACTTGTTGCATTTGTGTAAATCCAGAATGAACATGTGGCATTCCGGGTGAAGCCATTCCAGCACGATGCAAATCGAGCACAGAGGCACTCATTCCTCGAATGGATCCAGTTCTGGATCTTGCGCCACTTTGGCTTAACGGCGGCGAAACGTTGCCTCTACTTGTAGGCTAGATTATAAAAAACAGCAGATTTTTATTATAAAATTGTAGCAAAGTTAATACAATTAATACCTAATAACTAATGAATAAACTTCAAATAGCTACAAAAATTATACAAAAGGTTTTAAGTAAATTTACACATGCAGTAAACTAATTACAGATATCATGGCAATTCGAACCTAATACTACTAACAGACTACTTGACCAAAATAGCAACTAACATTTTCTAAGTAACAAAAATGCTTTACAATAACAGTTAAATCAATGTCATTCGCCAAAATTGTACTTAATAATTGAACTACGACACACACTCTAATATTATTCTTATAGAGGGAGTCCCGTAACGCCGGACGGCACCAAAGACCGGACACTCTATTTAACACGTATTATTTAAGCGAGTATAAATCTTTTTATTTCCTAGTCAAAGAATGAAAAGCTTATGAATGCACCAGCTGAGAGAATCGGTGTGGCCCAGCCAAAAGGGTGGATGAATAGTGACTGTTTTTTGCAATATCTAAGAATATTCGTTAAAGACACATATGCAGACTTTCCAGAGCGTGGAGATGGCTACATATGTGATCAATGCAGGTTATTTTGCAATGTCCGGTACTAGGTGCCACTGTCTAAAATCATATTTTTTGAGAGCAAAGTTTGATGGATAGTATTAATTATTTTTTAGCAAAGATTGCGGTTTTGTTAATTTAGTTTGATTTCTAACTTTGTTACCTAACATAAATCATAATTTAATAAACATTTCGTAAAATATTTTTTGATTTATTTATAAATAACTTTAGGCAGTGCTGGATTTACAGTAGGGGCAGTCGGGGCTACTGCCCAGGGCGGCAAATTTTCGGGGGCGGCAAAATTTGAATAATGAGAAAAAATTCTATACCATATAATTAACTCATTTTTTTAATAACACTTTTTATTCAAGAAATATAATTAACAAAACATTATACAAATGTAATGCAAAATTTGGTAATTTGGCAATTTGGCTAATATAAAGATTCGTAATTGAGTTGAAAGTTTAAGAAAAATATGTTCTTCATATCTCGAGCTCTCTTAAGATGACGAATTTGTGCACTTCCAAGCTTAGAGCGACGAAAAAAATTAAAATAGTGACGCATGGCATTATGCCTGTTACTGAAACTTTCCGTACTGAAAATTACATTTTATAAAAAACTTTAAAATTTTTTGAAAAATGATAAAAATTGAATTTAAAAAACCTATTTCGAAATTTTTTGAAAATTATTAACTCTTATTTATTAAATTTAGTAAAATTAAATTTTATTTGAATGATTCGATTCCTATTGATAGTGAGACGATTAGTTATTGACCAAGGCAGGTCCAACTGTTTCGAAAATACGGAGCCAAAATATTAATTCAGTTTTTAAAATTCATTAAATTTTACACGTATAGACAAAATGGAGAACTGATTAATTTTGTGGAAGGCAGGTGTAGCGGTTTCAGTGATCCAATAAAAAAAATTGAAAAAGAAACACTTGGCGGTTAAAAGTAATCATTATTCGTTAATTCAGTTTTTGAGAAACGAAACCTTCAATATCATTCAGAAATAATTTACATGAATGAAGAACTGCTTAAATTTGTAGGAAGCAGGTCTAGCGGTTTTGGTGATACAATAAAAAAATTGAAAGAGAAACATTTAGCGGTCAAAAATGATCATTAGACGTATGAATTTTGTTTACATTTCTATGGGTTCTGTAACATTCTTACACGTTATTCTACGAGGCGGCGCTTGCGCGCTTCTTTATTTTGTCTCTACTCAGCTAATAGACCAAGAGCCAGTGAACCTTTTGAATAACGGTGTTCTTGTAAGGCTAAAAATTTTTGTACAGGTGATTCTTAACGTGCTAAGTACGGAAACGACGGTCTGGCAGGTTTTAGCCCTGCACATCATGGTCGTCCAGGCGTTTGAAAGTGTAAAAAACACCCGAAAACTAAACTTGTTCCTGTAAGGTTCAAATTTTTATACAATGTAATTTACTCATTGAGAAGTTCGAAAATCAATCTGCCAGACCATTTCGACCTGCAAAAGTACCTGCCAGACGAGCCGGAAAGTGAGCAAAAAATGCCCCAAAATAAACTTTGTCCTGTAAAGCTGAAATTTACATATGTGTTTATCTAAGCAATTCTAAAAAGGTCTGTGCAATTGCCAGACCATTCTGGCTAGCATAAGCCCTTGCCAGACGAGGGCAAAAATGCTATGGCGGGAGGCGAGTAATAGGCGTTGCGTGAAAACTTATAGCATATATTCAAACTATATTATGAGAAATTACAAATTATGGTCAAAATAAATTTAATTAGTCACAATAAAATATATATTATCATGAATTAATCATCATTATCAGATATATCGCTAATTAATACTTCATCGTCATAAGATTCGGCATTGCTGACTTATCGTCTATAAAAAAAAAATTAAATATATTAATAATATAATAAATATAAAATATTACAAATTTAAAAATTTTAACATTACCGCCTATGTGTTGATCAGCTCTGTTTGCATCCTCCTCAGCAATACGAGAAGGATGTTGTGATATTATTTCAAAATTTGAAGAAGGAACGGTATCTCCCACAAACTAATTGAAATCAAATATTTTTTCAATCAATATCCAGCCAGTATTTTGAGATTTAAGAATTGTTGGTACTTTTAAATGACTATTTGAAAACTATATCTACTCGTGCAGCATGTGCTGCCGCTAAAATAGACATTATTTTTTCGAAATATTACCGAATGTTTTTGGTATATTTTTTATTGAATGCAGTAAATAAAGTCGATCGAAAACAACAGCATTATACCAAATTGTTTCGTTATCAGTTATATTTGCTTGTAAGACTTCAATCATTGCTGTTCTCGCGGTTTTATAGATAGTTCCATCTGCGTGGCAAAGTGACATTAAAACTAGTTGGTATTCGTATTTTGCCTTGAGGCAAGTTACATGAACTTCCCGACTTAATCAATAAAAAATAAATTAATTTATGAGTGATTAAGAGTATTACGAGTGGATTTATTACACATAATTGAAAACGAACGAACACGTTAACTCGGAGTATTTTCTAAAATCAAATTTTCACAAATCAATAATTTTTATAATTGAACCAGTATTCGTAGGACTTTAATGGTTCAGTATGTTCATTAAGACCATGTACTCTATCGTTATACCAAGTAAATCGTCTAATTTTAATTTTAACAAATGTAAAAATAAAAATTCACAAAGTACTCATACTCATTTTTTCAATCTTTGATGAATTTTTAAAATTAAACTACTTGTCGTAATGCGGTAATATTTCATTAAGTTCTATAAGACCATGATATATATATCCCCAAAAAAAGTTCCATAAAAATCGGCTTAAATTTTGTTTTCAACAGTTAATTACAAGAAAACGGCTCGGTAGATTTTCATCTAAAACTAATCAATATCATTCCCAACTAATATCTTTCGAACAGTTTTTGATTTTTTAAAATCGATTCGGTAGTATGAGCTTAAATGTGGATGAAAAGTTTAACACATTTTTTCAAATTACAAAGAAACGGCAGATCGTAGCACAAAACTGACAAACGATAGTTCTCATCGATGTACATCAAATGGCTTTTGAATTTTTGAAATCGGTTCCGGCGTTTTTGAGCAAACGTCGATAAAAGGTCTAATTTTGACAAATGCCAAAAAAGCGATATTAATTTTTGTAAATTTTGATGAATTTTTAAATCGGTCCAGTCGTTTTTTAGAAAACGTCGATTTACTTACGGAAAAAAATCTGTTCACTTTTTCCAAATTTGGTCTCATTCGATTCAGAATGGCTTGAAACGTCGAGAAAATATAAAATTAACCAATGGGATTTTTTGATGAAAACAAACTTCTTCAGGAAGCTAACAATTGTAATGAGATATGATAAGGTTTTTTGAAGATCAATATTATATTGGATTTATCGCGCCAACAGGCGACCAACCAAATCACGTTGGACACGAATTTCGTGAATTTTATTATTAGCTTTAATAGGTTTCTTTTTTTTCTGAAAATGTGTGAAATTTTTTCTTTAAATCTGTTACCCTCCGTTGAACATTCAGAAATAAATGTTTCTTTCCAACTTTCACCTATTTTCAGAAAATTCAATTGATACTCAATAGAAGCCTGAATTGAAGTATTAATTAGCGATATATCTGATAATGATGATTAATTCATGATAATATATATTTTATTGTGACTAATTAAATTTATTTTGACCATAATTTGTAATTTCTCATAATATAGTTTGAATATATGCTATAAGTTTTCACGCAACGCCTATTACTCGCCTCCCGCCATAGCATTTTTGCCCTCGTCTGGCAAGGGCTTATGCTAGCCAGAATGGTCTGGCAATTGCACAGACCTTTTTAGAATTGCTTAGATAAACACATATGTAAATTTCAGCTTTACAGGACAAAGTTTATTTTGGGGCATTTTTTGCTCACTTTCCGGCTCGTCTGGCAGGTACTTTTGCAGGTCGAAATGGTCTGGCAGATTGATTTTCGAACTTCTCATTGAGTAAATTACATCGTATAAAAATTTGAACCTTACAGGAACAAGTTTAATTTTCGGGTGTTTTTTACACTTTCAAGCGCCTGGACGACCATGATGTGCAGGGCTAAAACCTGCCAGACCGTCGTTTCCGTACTTAGCACGTTAAGAATCACCTGTACAAAATTTTTTAGCCTTACAGGAACACCGTTATTCAAAAGGTTCACTGGCTCTCAGTCTATAAAGCAGAGCGATCACTTTAATTTTTTTTTTAATTTTCAAGTATCAGCAATTTGCCTTAAGGCACACGTCAAGCACCACTATTTATAGTATGTAATGAGTAATACATTTTCTGCAGTCGAATAGTTATTTTAATTTAAGAAAAATGATATATAAAAAATATTTTAAGGAAAAATTCAGGGATAGGGCGGCATTTTTGTCATTGCCCCAGGGCGCCAAATTTCTAAATCCGGCCCTGACTTTAGGTGTCTGCCACTTGGGGACTTCCCCCTACTCTTATTTTTCAACTTATAACATCGTATTATACAACACAATATTTGTAATACCGTGTAAAACAGAAATAAGAGTTTGTGAAATAATTGAAGCCCGAAAAAGTTTTTAGACTCCAAAACATCAAAATTATGTAATTTTAATCCTATACATACGTGCATCATATTTTTTTGATCTAATCCAGAAACGCTTCCGGATCTCATCCGGTTCGCACCTAATGAATCCCAATCATTGAAATTTTCATTCGGAGCAATCTACAGACAGAAATAGGTCAAATGTTAGCATAGCTAAGATCTAAAGACTTAAAATCCAGTTTCTGACCCAACTGCTTTTATAATTAGAGGTTAAAATTAGATCAAAGACCGATTTAAATTTTTTACTTTACAAAAATAGCTTTAACTAATAGGTACGCATGAGCGGCTCGACTATAAATAAAACATGTATAATTATGTATCCTATTTTAGAAAAAGCACACTTGCAACTAATTAAATAGAAATCAAACCGTAAACATCTAACTTTTCAAAATTTTAAATTTTGAAATGACATAAATCCAATTATAGAAATCTTTTTGAACGATTTTTTTTAACAGAGTCATATATAAAATGCTTATTATTTACCGGTGCTTCACTTGGTCTAGAAGCTGTACTCTCTCTTCTAGATGGAGTAAGATTTCTCATGGCTTCCTGGTGCTGCCTATAACGTTCTTGTAATGAACTGAGCCTAGAATCTAATGTCGCGCCTGGAGCTTGCTTAGGCGGCTCTGGTGGTTGTCTCAAATTTGTAGCTTTAGGAAAAACAAATTCCAAATAAAATACTGTCTTATGAACTACTTCTAAGATTAATCATTTTAATTATAATTTATTTTAATTTTACTATTAAGTACTCAGCATAATTTACGTTGTCAATTAATATTATCAAACATACAGTGCTGTCTATCACTAGGAGTCGCCGGCAATGGTCTAGGAGTGCTGCTTATCATTCTTTTCAGTGAACCCATACGATCCAATATTGTTGTTGAATTTTGTTGCGATGAAACCTATAATAATTTTACAAATTATCGCTAAATACAAAAAATCAAATATTATTCATATGTAAATACTACTTATAAAAACACTTAAAGTTAGTTTCATAAAGCTCTATAATTTTTTCAGATAAAATACTAATAAAGATTTAATTCGAGTAAGAGTTGTTATAACTAACAAGGAGAACCTCAGGTTTACTCTTCTGATATTTCGATGAAACTTCGCATGGTCATAGAGTTTATAGTCAAACCGAACACCTTAAAATATTATAGGCCTATGAGAAGTGATTTAATTATAAAAACTAATTAATGCAAAAAATAAACCGCGCGCAATAATCCTTGTAAATATAAATAATCTGTTATAAAATAAATATAAAGAAAATTGAAACTAATTATTATTAATATACATACCTAATTTTAATCCTTTGAAACATTGAAAATAATTATTTAAATAAATTTAGTAAATTTGACATGAGATTATTAGATTATCATTATATTTATTATCATAAACGAAATAATGTTGTTAAATAATTATTATACTACACTATTATACTTTGTTCATAAAAAGATTTTAAACTTTTAAATATTTTGTTAACGTATACAATTGTAATATTCATTCAAAGATCACATGTACCATCGCAATGTCGTAGGAAACCATTATAGGGCAAAAAATTAAGGAATTAAGGGCAAAAAATATGAATATGTGCTTTATCAAATACAGAAGTGAAAACTGAAAATATGACAAAATCTGTACAATTTTTCAAGTATCTCCAACGTACATGCTTTATGGTTTTTGTATATTATAAATATAATAGAGTAAAGTGTATTATAGTGTACTATTTTTGTATATGTTTATGTTTTTGTTTATGATATATTAAGATGTGAATTCATAGGAATGAAGTTATGTGTATAAATCGATAAATAAAAAGTAGAAGATATTTAATATCATCCGAATATATTATAAGCATAAACATATTTATACATTTATCTTATATGTTACTTTAAATTTACAGGGGCATTTAAATAATATTATAAATTGCAAACATAAATCGATTTGTGCACAAATCGCCTTAATAAAGCTGCTATATGTACAATATCGCATACAAAGTAAATTTTAAGCAGGTACAAAGGACATATTGAAATATTTCTAATTGTAAGTGATATTTCACTGCACATTTTTTTAAACATTCTAACGGAGTCTAGCTAATGCAGCAGTGGCGTACCTGGTCTTTTCTGCCGAGCAGCGGACTAGAAGGGGCATGCCTTGACAAGGAACTACCGGGACGCTTATTTCTTCTTGGAGGCGGTACAGGAGCAGCAGCCGATTCACCTTTTGGCGGCAACGGTGGTCGAAACACTGTCTCCGTTGGCTGCAAATAATTCAAATGATCGTTTTATCAAAACCATCTTCAATAAAGTCTTCCAAATCGCTTCATAAGCCATAAATAAATTAATAGACAGTAAATTGTCTGATATACCGAGTCGTTAGATTCTAATCTAAGATTTTATATATTTTGTTGTGAGACAATCATTTTAGGTTTAAACATATCATGTTCATATAATTATATTTTTAAATTTCATTAAATGCATATTTATAAATATTATCAATATTTTATTTATTCAAAATTGCGATGTAAAATTTCTAAAATTAATTATTGAATTTAAACATGTTATTCAATCATGTAAATATTCTAGATTCGGTTTGATAGAAATGTTAACGATTTTAATAAAAAATTAGAATTAAATTGAAACTGATATAAGGAATTAAATATTTTTGTCTATTGAAAAACAAAGTATGCAATTATATTAAACAATATAAGAAAAGCTGCCATAACTATATGTATAGCAGCAATTTTAAATTTGTAGGATAAAACTTCAACGCTTCTAAAAATAACATGAGTATATGTTCAAATTGAAATATAATTAGAACGCAGCTGCCGTGTTTATAGATTTGATGTCTTAATGAGTTGCTAACGAGAATTTTATTATACGGAAACACAATTTATAGCATAATTTGGACATTGCTAGTAATCAAATCAGTTCATTACTCAAAATTAATTTTATTTCTTGAACTCGAGTAGCCGACCTATTTAGATTGCAGCATATATAGAATAAATATATCCTAAAATTAGAATAGCAAAATAGAAGCTGTGGGCTTATTTATAAAATATATAATAGATTGAAGCTCAGCAAATGAAATGCTGTATAACTAATCAAGTCGTGAATTTAAATATAATAAATACCACACACTATATGTCATATATCATAACAAATGCCAAAAATTCTGACTCAAACAAATTCGATGAAATTAGCTTCGAATGAATGTTAAACAAATCATGTAACATGTGTTTTCAAAACTTATAGAAAAACTGATATTAGTACAGCATATATATTAAAATCTCAGTTTAGATTACATAGACAAAAATTCAGCTGAATCCACAAAATCTCTAATGTAAGTCATCAAGTAATCGAAGAAAAATAATACTTTTTAGCAGTAGGTACTAATCGTTGCACAACAAACAGACTTTAAAAATTAAAATTAAAAATTCGTACTAATCGTTACACAACAAATATACATTTAGAATTGAAATTAAAAATACATACTAGCGTGTGAATATTTCAGAACTAGGTAAAAAACACAAAATAAGACTCTAGGATCCATAATTAAAGCGTCGTGGTATGAAAGTATTGATCATTCAGTAAAAAGTTACTAATTGATAATTACGGATATGATAAATAGGATTAAAAATTTGCACTAAAAACTATCAATGAGTAAAAATAAGTAATAATATACCCAATAATGTATAAATTTAATAACCGAAAGAATCATCTAATTGAGATAAACTTAAAATCAATAAAAAAAAATCTACTCGATGGAAAACACTTTTAAATCATATGTTATTAAAATCTATATAGATTTTCTGATAAATAAAGAAGAAAATTAGAAAATCGAATTTAAAGTTTTGTACAATAGTAAATTGATTTGAAATAAAAAAAAATAGTTAACGGAAAAAAGATGAATTGATATATTTTCCCAAAATTAACTTGTTTTAACCATATAATTTAAATGTGTGATAATAAATAATTTACCTTTCGGATATGAGTTTGTCTTTTAGGATGTCTGTGATACATTTCATCGCAGGATAAGCAAAATATCTGATTGGCACACTGCTCACATCGGACGCAGGTTGCGTTATTGCCGCACAAATCGCAGTGCCTTCCATCACCGCGTCTACCTCCATTTTCTTAAATAAATTAAAAAACACAGATATTATAAATTAATATGTATTACTGATCAAATATTTATATATATATATATATATATATACAATATATAGAGTAGAACAGGCCTTCAAGGTCCGCGGGTAAAAAGGTCCACCACCCATATCTCAAAAACAAGTAAAGTTAAAAAAATGTTAACAATGGCTTTTCGAAGTAGTGGGAAAAGATGTATAACCAGTTATCAAATTGATTCTTACGACGTTGTTATCGGAAGATAAATAAACGGCAATGTTTGAAAATCCGCAACAAAAATATTTTCTTTCGTTGATAGTTTTTTTGTTCAGTTTACAAGACCTTTATATAAATTTCATGTATACGTTATTTAATTAATTTATAAGAAGTATTGTAATATTTAGGTTCGATTAAATAGTATTTTTATGTAATCTCTATGAAAGCTCACATGTGGCTGGGGTAAAAATGTCTAACTGAACTTTTACCCTGGCAAACGTGTGAACAACAAAAAATGGTAAATAAATAGGTAAATCAAGGTGAAAGAGGCAATGTTAAAAGAGATATATTAAATAAATAGTTACTCCAACTCTGCTGATGAATATTGCTGGCGAAATACCAGTTCAAGTTTATATACATTGAACAGCTCATATTTTGCATTGGTTGAATGACTATTATAGTAAATCTCTTAAAAATTAAATAGACCGTGATAAATTTGAAAACAGAAATACACTCTACTATGATGAAATAGCTAGGTTTTGATTATTTTAGGCTATAGCTGAGCTTAGTCAGTCTGAACATAGCCAGATGGTTGTTTGCATCACAATATAATTGCTCAAAATCAAATTGGACCTTTGTTCCCCACTATTGCATATGTGGCATATATGTAAAATAAATAAATGATAAAGTGGATAAATTTTGAAACAGCAAAAAAACACATTCTACTATGATGAAATAGCTGAGAGTTATAGTGAACATAGTCAGATAGTTGTTGTATCATAATATAATTGCTCAAAATCAAATTGGACCTTTGTTCCCCACTATTGCATATGTGGCATATATGTAAAATAAATAAATAATAAAGTGGATCATTTTTTGAAAAACAGCAAAAAACACATTCTACTATAATGAAATTGCTGAGGGTTAGTCTGAGTCTGAACATAGTCAGATAGTTGTTGGTATCACAATAAATTGCTCAAAATCAAATTGGACCTTTGTTCCTCACTATTGCTTATGTGACATATATGTAAAATTGTTTTAACCCAGGATAAAGCGTGTAACACTCATTAATCTTTTAAAACATTTTATGATTAAATTCACTTCTCTTCAAATTGCTGATTTTTGAACAATGATTTCAGTAATCAACATGCCCAATAATCAAAAATGACCTAATACAATAACTAAAAGCCATGACAACAAAAAAGTGAAGAACAATCACCAGTGTCTGGTTGAGTCATTCTTGATCATTTTCTTCAACCTTAAGGGATATTTCATATTTTCAAAGTTTAACTATCTAAGAATATGGGTACGAGAAGGTTTTTGAAAATTTGAATTATTTTCAGATATATAGGCATTTTATTGACTCGGTCTCCATACTGGTTTGGCTTCACGCAAAACTTTAAATGCGTTTTTCTCAGAACAGACTTTTTCAGTACTGTTGACACGATTTCTCGAGTTTTAATCGACCGATTCACTTGAAATGTTCAGAGAGTCTTGTTTATAGACCTATCTATAGCCCGAACTAGGATTATCCCCAAATTCCAATATCTACTATTTTTTAAAAATTCGAGAAACTCAAAAAACAGTAAAAAAATACCTTTTTTTCAAACAGTAGCCAATTTGCAGAAAAATATTTTTTTTACTCATCGCTAATTCGGGCGATTGCGACATCATTGTTGATTAATAATTTTTTTATTTTTTACATTTCTGATGGCTAGGAGAGCTGAAATCATGTTAAAACTGAGGTGCCAATTTTTTGAGACTACCCACTTCATCAGCTGCCAGTTTTTACAATTTTTAACTTTTTCATTTTTTAATTTTTGTTTTGTATTTTAATAATATTAATAAACAAGTGGTAAAAAAATGGATAGTGAAAACATTCAATGCTTTCTTTTACGACACTTCAAAAATGACCTAAAATGCATCGCTCTACACTAGAATACCCCCTTAAATAGAATAACTGCTCAGACACTAAGACTTAAGAAAGTTTTCAATCTTAATATTTATTAGATAAAATACGAAAATCTAAAATTACAATGACAAATATAAAACAATTGGGTTTTTCGAAATTTGTACTTACCATGATTTTTAGCAGGCAAAGGGGGCGGTCCAGAATTTATGTATTGCGTTGCGGACGGAGGACATTCAATGACCTCATATTCTGGATCAGGGGGGGTCGGAGAATCTGACCGGAAGCGTAAAAATCCGTTACCGTTGAAACGGCTGTCATCACGCGGCGACGGCGGCGGAGGGGGCACTGGACCACCTCTACCGCTTTTCGACTAAAGTACCAAAATAAATAAATATATTTAACTTTATATTACGATCATGTATATAAGTAATAATTTTCATTGAAAGGAATATATATTACAAAATATTTGAGTGTAGAACTCTGAAATATTAATCAATCATGAACGCCAGATGTATAATAATATAAATATTTATATTTCAAAATAACTGCGAGTTTAAATTTTGTATCTAGTTCACATTTGCAAAAAATTTGTTGAGTGTTATAAGATCAAGTTTAAAATAACTCCATTTAAAAACTCTTACGATACGGCACTCTTTACCAAACACTGTTCTTAATTACTATCTTTCTATATTACGAGGACATTGAGAAATTCTTGTTGACATGTAGTGTATGGCTTGTTTTTGGTGGGCAACCCAATAGTTGTCCTATCCAATTGTGACTAATAACTCATGCGATAATACTTTTTAACTTTTTATAATTTAATATGCACCTATACAAGCGAAAGACAATTATCACTTGAGATTATATTTAAGATCTTTCTACTTCAAGTGGCAATGTCAACAAAGTCGAGATTGGCCGAGGGTGGGATCGAACGCCGGATTTGTTTGTGCTAGCCCACGTCCTTACTTTTAATAAAATAATCATTTTGTTTTTCATTTTAAAAACTATTTTATGATAGGGGTTTAACTAATAAAATCATCTAGACTTACCATCCATTCTGGCATGGAACGTCCTGTCCTCATTCTGTTACTAGCATTAGTTATTGTTATCGGACGCCATTTTTCACTCCCGTTAGCATTCTACCAATAACAAAAACAATTGAGAAGTTACACAAATTATATTCACTTTTCATCAAAATTTCTAAGTAATAAGCATTCATTTCGGGTATTTTTAAGTATCCAAGTCAGAACATCAACGCAGGTGCAATATATAATAACTTTATTTACCAATATTCTAATAGATACCAAAATCAGTTATTGATTTTAAAAAACAAAAATCAACAGTAATTAAGCATACCTATTTGCAGATTAATAAAAATGTATTTGAGTATTTAATATATTTGTGTCAATTATTATAAAATTTATTATTACTTATAACTATTTCAATGAAAGCAGAATCTAAATTCAAATAACTAGTGCTTTTTGCCCATAAACATTTTCAACACAGTTTTAAATATTGATTTAAACACTATTTATTATAGATAGAATACATAATACCACTTCAAAATATAAATTTTAGGATATTATGTTACATGTATACACTTAATAATAAATAAAAACACGTTCGAAAACAAGAAAACTGTATCCTGAATTTTGTTACAATACACTTTCACTACCGGGCTCGTTCGCCTGAATACAATTTTCTAAACCCACCAGGATCTATTATTAACCGCAACCACTGCACAATATGGTGAGATTTAAACTACACTATAATAAATTGACCTGAATTCCAGACAACCCATAATAAATCTTTCAACGTTATAAATATATTTAGGGATCAAAAATAGATACTAACATTCATGTTTTATTATTATCTTGATGCAAGCAAAGCTAAATGCAAGCTTTAGTTTGTAAGAGTTTTTCTTTGCGTTGAAGTAATGTTTTTTCGACACAACAATTGCACAATATGACACAATATTTTAAACCAATTACGGAAATAAAACATGGCGTCTGAAAATGTCAACGACGCCTGCAGAACTGATCCAGGCGGGCCGCGCATCAGGAAGAGAACGACCAGATTAGATAGTACAGGGCCTTGATTAAATATAATAGACTTTAACTTTGCGTTTTAAATTGCATATTTAAATACTTTTTTGTTATATTCACTCCGTTTTCGAGTTTAATGATGCAAATTATCGACATTTCTAAAGAATATATATTATATTTTCACTTTGCGAATTGTAATTCTATCATAATATCAATGAAAATAAATAACTTAAATAAATAGTAACGTAATACAAAAACTCTAAATAATTAATAATTAATAATAATTATTAATTTATTTCTAGTAAAAACGGTCCTAAAAACATCGCGTATATATAAAATTTTATCATAATTTTCTAGTTTTGTTTAAAATACTTTCACGATGTTAAAAATAATGATTTTAAAGTTTAAATATTCTTACATGATAACTATTTAATAATTCAATTTTTTTTTAATTTAAAATAATAAACAGTTTAATAAAGGACCACACTAAAAGAAAAAATAACGCATGCGTAAGAGATCCGCCATGATGATCTAAAAGCGGAAATCTCGGCAGTTTGGTAAAATGCCAATAATTACTAAAATTCTATACTGGTCTATAAATATTTTAAAATATGGTATATTTAATCATTTGTATAAATAATTAGATAAGTATTTGCTTGAACTTTTGGTTTCAATAAAATTTAAATATACAAGGATAAATGCATAAGTAATTGAAACCAATAAGTAATATTAAAAATAATTATTTTTACTGAATTTATCTATCAAATAATTTAACATAAATAAATTAAAATTAATATTTAATAAAACATTACATGTTTTTCGTAACATTGTAACACCACGCTCATATGATTTCACATCAAGTGATTTTTACATCACTAAAATGAAATCTAATTTTAGCAAAAAAATATTTATAATTTACTAGTTAAAAATACTAAGTGTATCACATTTTGAATAAACATGAAATATATCTAGAATGAGACCAGACATTTATTGATTTTTGACTCCAAAAATTATAATTTTCAGCAGAAATGATCGCACTGTATGCAGTTGCACAAAATTTAAGCCAAGTTTTTAATACTCGTGGCTATACAACCAATGTTACATTATAAAAAATAGAATATTTACCCCTAAATATCTTACGTGTACCAGCTACAATTTTAAACCAGTCACATTATAATATTATTTATTTTCAAGCGATTACACTCTATCCAACCGCCGACTTCATTTTATTAATTATAAAATAATGTTCGAACAAGATAACACAGGATACCAGATCCATAGCTTGCAATACTATTTCTGAGAAATTTTAGTACGAAATTTTCCGTTGCCGAGGCGATAAGCGGGCTTTACAATCAAAATTATATTTTTCATGAAAATTACATTTGCTGACGCTAACACCCCGAAGACCGCACCAAAAATCGTACTTTATATGTGGAAACCACACCAAAAATTGGCTATTCCTAGATAGTTCCAGATAAACATATCGTGTGCCCACATGCGTTGTGACTGCATGTTAAGTAATACCGCGTTGGCCAAAGGCTGGATCGAAGTTGGGGTCTCATTGTGAGACACAAACGGAATCCACAGGACCTTCCTATCATATATGATCACTTCTGAAGATTGAAACTTGTACTGAAATATATTTCAAGATTAATACCTCAAGGTTCTAACAAAACATCGACTGCCCATCATCATCGAGTTTATGAGCCCAGGAGTGGAAAAAAGTACAATTTCTATAGTTAACAACCACAGTCATGTCATATGACTGGCACAGATTCAATTCAGAATGATCATTTGGTATGATAGAAGGTTTTCATATAGAATTAAAGCAAAACAAAACGTATTCAATGACTAAGCTTTTCTAAGTAGAAAAAACGTTTTTAAAAAGATTTAAAAAAAAATTGGTTCACTTTGATAATAAGAAGTCAATATCTGGAGTTCTTGTTAAAAACAAAAATAAATTTTCATAAGAGAAGATTTAATTAAGAAATTAAATAATTCTTAAAACATTTTTTAAAAACTGTTAAGATTTTTGTGCATAATTCAAAGCCTATTAGGCGCATACAGACTTAAATTCAAATCAGCACAAATATAATTATATACAATTGTTAATCGTCTAAAATTCTTGCATTATATACAATAATAAAATAAAATAATTGTATAAATATAGATATATTACATAATATTAAATAATAAATTTAAATTTTTAAGTACTAATATTAACAATGTTAGAATTGATTTACAGGTTCACCAGCCAGTAATGGAATGTAATACTATTTCATTATCTAACAAAAAAATTGCACATTAAAACTATAAAATATCTTAAATTAATAATTAGTTTTATATTTCTTAAGTTCTACCATTATAACATGTATATTTGTAAGTTGTGTTCTTGCATTTGGCGTAAGCAATTTATGAAATCGATGATAATACTGCACTAAACTTGTGAGAGCCAATTGCAATAAAGTTGATCCAGTAACCAAATTTGGAAAAGATAATAAAATTTCTCTATTCAATTCTTCCAAGCTTTTCTTCCAATTAGCCGAAAATGTTGTCACTAAAGCCAAAGATTTTCTTTCTTGCTTTTTAACTTCTTCAGTTTGTCCCTTCTCTAGAAGAATTTCTCCTTCTTTAACAAATTGCATAATTCCACCAAAGTGTGGACTCAATATTTCTTCAACGTACTCAGTACTCCTAGCATTCAATTGTTCTCGGAAACTTTCTGCTTCTTTAGAATTATCTCGTGTACGTTCCATTAATATTCCTAAATTGCAATATTCACATCTTATTTCACAGTTATTTTAAATATTCACAAATATAAAAATGATAACTTTCATATAATTTTTATAAATATCTGATCTGATCAACACAAATTACTATTTTTAGCTATTAGTTCAGTACATTTCATCAGCAAAAGATATGATAAAGATATAATAAAATTTTGACATAAATCCGATTAAACTTTTGCTCAAAAAGCCCAATGATTCCACAGAAATTTTAATTTTCTTATTATTAGGATATGCAAAAAAGAACAAACGTGCTATTAAGTTAATAAACTTACCTAAAACCATATCATAATTATTAATAAGATAGATCAGTTGTTCTTTCCTTTGAGGAAATATTGCAGCCATTCGCAAAATAAAACATTCAACTTCAGTCTGTAACTCGGCCAGTAGTCTGTTTACCAGTTCATTAGGAAAATGTTCACTAATTCCAACAATTGCAGCAGAAAATTCTGCATAGCGTCTAGTTATCTAAAATTACATATTGAATTTATATTGGATTTAAAAATAGAAAAATATTTAAATAAAATCTATCATACATAATGAGGCCCCATCTCTTTATTAAATTTTGTTGGATCACAATCTCGAATACTTTGAATGTTTAATTGAAATATGTGTTCAAATCTTGGCCATATTGCCGACTGCAAAGAATCCCAGTACCTAAAATATTATAAAAACTTACAAATGTTTATTACCATCTAAATTTCATATTAAACAAATCTATTAAACAAAGCAATCTGTATCAAATGTAAGCAAAAATAAGATGTACATAAATGATATAGATATAAATTTATAGACAAACAAAATTTGTATATATATATATATATATATATATATATATATATATATACAAAGTTTCATATATATTTATATACCATATTATTACTTACATATCTAAAGCCGGTACACATCGTTTATGGCACATGAGTTGATACCTCAATATGAGATGTACACAAAGAAACAACGCTATGGAATCATAGCACTCTTGAACAAAAGTTTCTAAATTTTTCTATTAAAAATAAAAAATCCATTATGGAGTGCCCAAATTAGAATATTTCATGTAAAGGTATACATACTATTAATAGAGTAAGAGTTTTTCCTAATATTTGATTAAAGAGATCTTGTGCCTGTGTTCCTCTAACTTTAAAAAGTTCAGTTAGAAATAAATACTCTCTACAGGCATTGTCAACAAGAGCATATTGCAGACTTCGAAACAGTGCTTCATATGGATACTGAAAAAAGTGATTTAATTTTTTGTAATGTATATAATTTTTGATCTGTAAAACTAAGTTAATATATATATATATATATATATATATATATATATATATATAATTACAACAAATTAATCAAGCAATCGGTTGGTTAAATATAGAGAAGTCTAAAGTTCACTATTATCTAATGAATAAAATATTCATCTAACTGTTATTAATATTGTTATTTATATTACTTTTATAATAACTATTACCTTACCCTATTTTTCTGTTGTGCATGAGGCACAATTATAGGTGCTTCTAATTGCTGTGCTAATACTTCACCACGATTACCTATGGTAAAAACTGTGCCTTTGTGTTTCAAAGATGCCTTATGAAAAATACTTCTCGTGGCAGTGTCTTCAATTCCCATTAGATCATCTTTTGTTGCTAGTTCTTCAAATTGAAGTTTACATAATCGACCAGAATAACTTTTAAAATAAGTAAAATATATTTTACTCATAGTATCAACATATTCTGTACAAATCTCTTGAGCTACATTTCTTTCATTTGATAATATAAATTCAAAAAAGAATTTATGTTTAAGCATTGCATTTTGGGGAACTTGATAATTAGCCATTGGTTTTCTAAACTTATATATTTGTTCTAAAAAGTATGTTCTTATTTTTGACATTGCCTTAATTTTCAGCTTCTCTAGTACATCTCTAACATCATTGCTAGCTTTGGCATCTTGAAATTGTTGTTCTTTTACAAAACTGATCTTGTGATTGAGTATTTGTAACTGAGTTATAAATTCTTTCTCAGTAACTGGTGTATCCAAAATTCCGCTAAAATAAAATTCAGGTAAAATAACACTATCGCCAGAATGATTTTACAAAAATTATAGAAAAATAACTTTTAAAATATTTTTATCAAAAGACATTGGCATATTATATTTTAAATTATAGCTGAAGGCGAACTCTTGATAATACTTATATATAATTTAAGTTTATTAACTAAATTTTCTCACGTTATCAGACTTTGAGTAACAGAAATATCTTCGATAAACTGTGAGAGATCTCCTCGTACAGCCTGCCTATTTGATAATTGAATGGACATTGAAACAGATTTTTTTTGTAGAGACGTTATTTCAGAACTGATATTACCTAAAACACTCTAAAATGATAAAAACAGATTATTTCATTTCTAGAATAAAATAAATATTTTATTTACAATTATTATGCAGTATTAGCACTATATAAAAACTTTTTAAGCCAACCAACACATATTGAAACATCCTTAGATAATGTAAATTAATCAAATTCTTTTTTAGGATAAATTAATTATCAAATTTTAAAAATGATAATCGTCAATGTTTTAAAACATAATGTGCACATTAAATTGGCAAGTTTATTCAATAAAATATGTAATATCAAAAAGATTATATATTTATTTTTTGGCGATATATCCAGTAATAAAAAATAAATAACTCACAGATTTTATTATGATGGATAATATAAAAAAATTGTTAATATGTACAGTTCATTGTTTTCAAAGATAAATCACATCCACAACAGACCTGAAAACTCATTAACATATCTTCCATTCTTTCAAGGATGTCATCGCAAGCCCCAATTTGATTGTGCAAGCTAGCTATATTTTGGCTTTCTTTAATATAATCCTGTATAGATTTATTTTCTACATCTTTCAGTTCTTTTTCTATTTGTTTCGAGTATTGTCTCAGATCAGTGCCAGTTTTGAGAATTTCTTGAACAACATCATCTTCTAAACTCTGCAGCTCCTTTTCTGGGTCCTCAGGAAAATCGCCAGAAATCATTATGAAATTAAAGTTTCAGAAGCTGATTTATAAAACGTATAAACTGTTAAACTACAGTCATATCTTCTAAAACTTAACAGTCTTCTAATTAAATAATCCAGGCAAAATGACAGGAGTCACAAAGTTTACATAGAGTTTTGACGTTTCACCCAAAACTGAAGTTTCCAAACTTCTTGCCTTCCCATGTTGCAAACCTTATATATTAGTCATAAAAAACAGAAAATGAAAGCAACATTCTATATTAATTCAGCATGCAACATTTGCACTCCGCGTCGTTTATATCCATTGCATTTTTTATTGGAATATGTCAAATGTTTGCCGCCAAAATTTTAAAAGTGGGTTCTGCACTTAGGTTTGAATTTCGTATTCTTATTGGAAAAGACACGTGGACAAAGTTTTGACAAGTGTCCACAACCGAAATGACAGCTGTTGAAAATTTCAATTAAACTAAAACAAAGTTATAATTGCTATGCTAGTGTAATATTTTAAATTATTGACATTCTAAAGAGATCATTTAAAAATATTGTAGAACCTATAACATAAGAAAACATTGAAAATTAGCATTACATTCCTAAAGCAATATGTCGACTGTAGAAGAATTAAAATCGAAAATCAAGGAATTGGAATTGCAATTAGAAGCCGAACGGCATAAAAATGGCCCAGGACGAAGTAAAATATTGCAAATGTCATCAGAAGTTGTAGATTCTAATCCTTACAGGTTGAATTCTGGATTCAAATTAGGATAAGAAAGTAATTTCACTTCCACATGTAACTGTAATAATTATAATTTTTACTTCCAGTCGTTTAATGGCCTTGAAGCGAATGGGTATAGTGGATAATTATGAACAAATCAGAGGATTTACTGTAGCAGTTGTAGGAGTAGGCGGGGTTGGGAGTGTTACTGCAGAAATGTTAACCAGATGCGGAATAGGAAAGGTTTGTTAAGGTAGTCAACTTAAGTCGTGATATAACATAGTAGTATATTCATTTTAGCTAGTATTATTTGATTATGATCGTGTTGAGCTGGCAAATATGAATCGTTTGTTTTTCACACCTCAACAAGCTGGTTTAAGTAAAGTAGTTGCTGCAGCACATACTTTACAAAACATTAATCCAGATGTTGAAATTGATACACATAATTATGACATCACCACAGTAAGCAACTTCCAACAATTTTTAGATGCAATAAGGTAACATTGATACTGCATCATATTGTTGCGATATATGTTCATTAAAATGTCACTGTTATAATTTTTATAGCACAGGTTCTATGTCCGGTGGTCCTGTAGACTTAGTATTATCATGTGTTGATAATTTTGAAGCTAGAATGGCCATTAATACAGCATGTAATGAACTAAATAAGAAATGGTTTGAATCAGGAGTGGCCGAAAATGCAGTGTCAGGGCACATACAGTTTATAATACCTGGAGAAACAGCCTGTTTTGCTGTAAGTTAATAACTTAAAATTACCTAATAATACTGTAACATTTTTAATTATCTATATTTTGATCATGTGACATTTAATTATGATCTATATACACTTTCACATATGTATGTTTATATACCTGAATCAAGTGATTACCTAAACACACGCACACAAATATATATTTGTATATATATATATATATATATATATATATATATATATATATTGAATGTTAAATATGAATAACACAACACTCAGATTTTTACACACACTTTATTTAATAATTAGACTCGTTTCGAGACCATGATATGCCTCATCTTCAATGTAATTTCAAAACAGTAAAAATTATATCCTTGTACTTTATTTAACATTTCATTTGAACTTGATTTACTTTTTAAAACATAACACCAACTTTATCTTACAATGCTTGACACCGTACTAACGTTGTGTTGTTCATATTTAACATTTAATATTCGTTCCGCTAATATCACAAAATTCTATATATATATATATATATATATATATATATATATATATATATATTGATGAATATTTACAGTGTGCACCACCACTTGTTGTTGCAGCTAATATTGATGAAAAGACTTTAAAAAAAGATGGAGTATGTGCAGCAAGCTTACCTACTACAATGGGTATAGTGGCCGGCTTGCTAGGTATTTTTTCATATAAATTTTTTATTTACGTATTCTATTATATCTTATTTTGTTGTGTATTCAATTCTATATATATATATATTTGCAGTTCAGAATGCATTGAAATATTTGCTAAATTTTGGCAGTATTTCCTTTTATTTGGGATACAGTGCTTTACCTGATTTTTTCCCCAGAATGGCTCTTAAACCAAACCCATCTTGTAGCGACAGCTTTTGTATTCAACGGTAAATATAATTTGAAATACAAAATTTATGCATACAGATTTATGAACTCCAGAGTAATTTTCAGACAGAAAGAATTTGCTGCAAAACCTAAATTAGAAAAAAAGGAAATGATTGAAGTTGAAAAACCTGTTCATGAAGATAACGAATGGGGTAATTTTTTTAGTATTGTTTACATTCATAGTGAAATATTGTCAAAGTTATTTATCTAATTGAGTAGATTGCTTTTATAAAAAAATTGGATCTTTGACACACTAATTTGATAATTGAATTTAGATACTGGTTTACAAAGATTTGATTTGTATGTTATAGGTATTTGTGTAGTAGAAGATAACAATCCTCAGGAAGATGAATCGGCAGGCTTAAAATTGGGTTTAGTAGAAGGTCTTAAATTGCAATATACCATGCCTTCGGTGTCAAACAACATTTCTGAAGAATCCCCAAGTCAAAATGAAGATATATCTTTAGAGGAACTGATGGCACAAATGAAATCTATATAGATGTATTAAAACATTGATATTTAATATATAATGGAAAAATATAATGATTGACATGATTATTTCTCTCTTCTTCCGCTAAAATCAACTTGTCGCTCAGTTGTATTTTATTAAGTATTAATTGAAAATATTTCAGAAATATGTGAATGTAAAATATATTACTTTCAATTTATAATAATATATATTAGTTAAAGTAAATTTTGTGCATGTGCACTCGCATTATTTATAGCATTTGTAATATAGATTTTATATTTTATAATATGGAACAGAAATATCTAAGTTGAAAATTAAAGTGAATGATTGTTTTCTTTTGTTTCATTTCATTTGATACATAATTTTAATTTTAACAAGTTACATTAGTATGATGGATTGTGAAAAATTGTCTGAGAAACCAAAAGCAACTGGTTACGGCTGTGCTTTCATGCTGTTGTTATTCATTATGATGTCAATAACTGCATTTATAAAATACACATTTCCAGGGAATGCTCTTGATTCCAAAAAAATGCACAGCAGCAGTGGTGGTTTGCATTAGAATTTTAAAAACTATCATAAATTTAGAGTGAGTAAAGATCTTAAAATTTATTACATATTTATATTAATGTTCTGTTTGCATATTATCATTTAATAATAACTATTTAATAATGTTTTACTACGCAGAATAAAAAATAATTAATTGATCTTCTATTTTACACCTATATTTTACATTACAAAAAATATTTTATTTAATTCATTGAAGACTTTATATGGTCAAAATTAACATTTTTGCTTATGATTGGATCATAGTACTCAAATATCCCAATAAATTTAAAAAAATAATTTGCTTTAAACGCTATATTCTCTTTATATATATTTCACATTTAAAATTTATAATTGAAACTACTGAACAACAAATTTAATATTCAATATCTAGTAGTATTTCAATTGAACCAAAACATATGTATTCTTATGACAATTTTGTTTTAACTTAGAAAAACAAAAAATAGTTCGTTATTAATAACAATTACATGTGAATAATTTAATTTGAAATTTCAGAGCCTTTGAAAACGCCATAAAATTGAAGAACAAAATATTTTTTCTCAAAATTGCCGGACTATTTGACTGAATGAAGTACGTACAATTCAAAGTTGGTATACGATCTATTACTATATGATGTTACAGATCTACGAGCGAGGCCTAGAAAAATAGATGTTGGCACGAACATGTCAAATGCTTTATTTTGTGAACTTATTTCAGTAAGAATGTTCGAAAAATGTATTTATAAAAATGTCGTTCTTTCTAAAGGGAAATGTACAATTTGTTAACAATATATTATCAGTTTTTATTTTACGATTGTGTACAATAATAATAAAAGTGCCCATGTCGAGCAATGGCTGTCTGTAAATGGCCGTGTGAGACATCTGTCAAATTCGTGATGATATGACGGGCAATTTCAATTAGTTATTTCTGTTTAACCAAGTGAATACGTTAATATTTTATAAACCTACAGTTTTAATTCGAATCTCTTCTAAGTGATATTACAATGTCTGGTGAATCTGACATGGATTACTCTGATGAGTGTGATGAGTATGGAGATTATTATAAAACGGGGGATGAAGACTGCGATATAGAACAAATAGATCCTAGTAAAACAGATCCGGAGTATTTTGTTTATGAATGCTTAAATGTCGAAGCCGTCGAGAAATTGCTAAATGAATCCGTTGAAACTTTGAGCAATCGTTTGGATATTACTCCATCCATAGCTAAGGTTTGTTTTTTATATCTTTTGGGCTCTTAAAATTAAGTATATTTTGTAAATGATATAGCATTGTTATAGATATAGAAATCGTTAAATATTGTTATTCATAAAACTTGAAGAATCTATTTTCAATTTTTTCTTTTTACTAAAGTTTGAATGAATCTTATATATTACCACACTGTTCTTAGATGCTCTGAGAAAGCAAATATTCTTCAAAAATATAAATACAAGTCAACAAAAATATAATTTATTGTTGGTATTTTTAAGAATATACTGTTTTTGAGATACTTATAATTTTAAGGAATCTTTTAAAATAGATGTGAATTAAATTATTGTATTTCCTAGTTCATGATGTGAGAACACCATAATTTAATGGTTCTTTTTTTCTTCTTTGTTTTCCTTAGATTATATAGGTAATAATAATAACGTAGTGTCCAAAGACTTGCTTTCTCAATGTTTTTAGAATCTTGAATAGAAACAGTCTCAAAACTTACATTCTAATTTTTCTTACAGAAAAGCCTACATTTTGGCTAGGTAGTAAATTTTTATCAGTACCGCTCAATTTTATCTATACTGGTTATATCAACTTTCTAATTTATATATAATATTAAATATGAAAAATTTTCAGGTGTTGCTGAATACTCATGGTTGGCATACGCAAGACATTATTTCAAAATATCGTGATAATTCTTCATGTTTGCATGTCAGGGCTGAGCCACCAAGAGTGCCTCCAATATCTTCAAATAATTTGTGTTGTCCTGTATGCGTAGCTGTTTTAAATTATGATCGATTTGCTGCTCTGTCTTGTGGACATTTCTTTTGTAAAGATTGCTGGGGAATGCACTTTGAAATTCAAATAATGCAAGGTGATTACTGATTTACATTCTTATCAATTATTATGAAATTGAATATGTCATACTTATATAGAAATTTGTTGCAAATAAATATATGAAGTCTTATATTTTTTATATATTTTTATCGTACTGTTGGTAGAGCATATAAAAGAGCAATGAGCAGACAAAATTATATAATTTATTTATGTTTTATGTTCTATATGAATCTCTTAAATTATTTTATGCTACTTTGAAAATTTTGTATGTGCCATATATTGTAACTACTATGAATAGTAACTAAAAATGAGTCATTTATAGAAATATTGTGATTTTAATTTTTTTTTAAAAGATAGAACAGCTCAGCAAATTTATACTTATGATTATTAATTTTTATAGGTATTTCTACTGGGATAAGTTGTATGGCACAAAATTGTGCTATGCTTGCACCTGAAGATTTCATTTTAAATTTGATAACCAGACCGGCTTTGCGAGATAAATATCAGCAATTTACATTTCAAGATTATGTAAAGTCACATCCTCAACTAAGATTTTGTCCTGGGCCTAATTGTCAAGTAAGAAATTTTGTCATTAATAAATAAAGTGTCGCTATCTTTCAATCAATTATATTTTTGCAGATTGTTATCTGGTCAAAGGAGCCTTTAGCTAAACGAGCCGTGTGTTCTTCTTGTAAAACGTCATTCTGTTTTGGTTGCGGTACTGACTATCATGCTCCTACTGACTGCCAAGTGATAAGGCGTTGGTTAACAAAATGTGCAGATGATAGTGAAACAGCCAATTACATAAGTGCCCATACTAAGGTATAAAACATAAAAAATGATCAGATACCGCTATTTCGGTTTATTATTTTTTTAATTAACTTTTTATTAATAGAATCAAACATTTAAGTATTCCCATGATAAATATATAATATTTAGATACTATGTACATTGCCACCACTGGGCTTAAAAAAAATATTTCTTCTAATATAGAGAATGTTATTACATGTAATTTATTTAATGCTGGAAAAATTTCTATTCTATTTAAAAATATGGATGAAAAATATGTAGACTTTGTGAACATAACCCCTAGAAGATGATATATTCATATATTATATTGATCTCTTTATTAATAAGTATATATATATAATGAAATAAGCATAATATTTTGAATAAAAATATTAATAAATTTGATAAATAATTTGATAAATAAATAATAAACTAAATATGTAGTTTGAAAAAAAAATGGATTCATATTATTGAAGAAATAATGTTTAATGAAACACTGCAAATTTGTATACTATTGTCATTTATTTAATTTATTATTTGTTCTAACATATTTTGCAATAATTTATAATGTGTAGCATTTTTTTTTTGTTTTTGTTACATTCATTATTATAAACTGTTAGCTTTATATAATAATTTCCAATGCATTCATTTATTTTTCTTAATTTCAATTTAAATATGTAAAAAGTTTCATTTTTTCAATCTTCAAGATCTGACTTAGTGCTTCGATTTATTTTCAATTATATTTTTCTAGCTATTGAAAAAAATCTTTGTTTTAGGATTGTCCTAAATGCCATATATGCATAGAGAAAAATGGTGGATGTAATCATATGCAATGCTCGAATTGTAAGCATGATTTTTGTTGGATGTGCTTAGGAGACTGGAAGGCACATGGTTCTGAATATTATGAATGCTCTCGATATAAAGAAAATCCTAATATTGCGCATGAATCAGTTAATGCACAAGCAAGAGAAGCATTGAAAAAATACTTGCATTATTATGAACGTTGGGAGAATCATAGCAAAAGTTTAAAATTAGAGGAACAAACATTAGAAAAAATTAAAAATCGCATTAATCAAAAAGTAAAATCTTGTTATAATTATTCTAATTTCAGTGTTCATTTAGTTTCCATTATAATCATTTTAAAATTTTTAGGTAATGGATTCTTTAGGTACATGGATTGATTGGCAATACTTGTTTGAAGCTGCTACACTACTAGCTAAATGTCGGTATACTCTTCAGTATACATATCCATATGCTTATTTCATGGAAGGGCCAAGGAAAGAGTTATTCGAGTACCAACAGGTTGAGAAACATTATATTTTTTGCTCTTGGTGACTGAATGTTATTGATCAAGAAGAAGCTTTATGCACATGTTCTTCTTTTAGTTTGACAAATTAAAATAATGAAAAATATAAAATTATGAAAATCACTTTCATCACTTAACGCTATAACAATAACCCTATTTTTTGTGAAGTGAGGCCAAAAACAGTTTTTTTTTTGTTTTTCCAAAATTCACGGCAAAGCAGATTGCTAAAATCATCAAATCATACTTTTGAACAATTATATAATAAATATCCACTTACAAGTATACACTTGTAAGCTTTATGAAATAATAATCCATTCAATAATTTGAGACTATAAAAAGTATTGTTATGCCCACATTCATAGATATATGCGGAATACAAAAAGGCCAAAAATTATTGCTTCAGATAATAATTTGAAGATAATATATAAATAAACAGACGAGAGGTACTCAAGATAGCAAAACTCGAACAGTTATCTATTCTGCCTATAATATTTGAGATATTCAAAATGGCTGTTTTGTTTAATAGACTTTAAGAGCTCAAAAATAAAAATATGTATGTGTAAGATTGAATCTAAATTCAGTAAAATATATTTAAATATATTAAATTTTCCAGGCTCAGTTAGAAGCAGAAATTGAAAATTTGTCATGGAAAGTAGAGCGAGCTGAAACAACTGATAGAGGTGATTTAGAAAATCAAATGGATATTGCCGAGAAAAGACGAACCACTTTGTTGAAGGATTTTCTTGATGGCAGAAGTAAATAGTATTTTTCAACAGACTATTGGAACTAAGTGTTATGTATTTGTCTGTAAATGTTTAAGTCATATATATGTTATTAATAGGGGTATTGAATATTTATTATGATTTTCTTTACATATATAGACATTTTTTAATGTATGATGCAGTATTCCTGTAATTTAGGTTTTGTTATAAGAATGGCAGCATAGTTTTATGCAACTTATGGTGTATTGAACAAATGAAAGAATAATATTAATTTATGAAACAAATGCACCTCTCATTGTACGCATCTTCTTGTGACTCAATAGGGCTAAATAATATGAAGTAAAATAAATTGAAGTACTAAATACTGTGATTATAACAAAATGACAAAATTATTCTCATTATCTGATTGTATAGTCAAATCCCATTTAAACAAGTAGATCAAAAAATGGTCATTTGTTATTTCTTTTATAAAGAACTGCAACAATTATTTATTTTATATAGCATAAATACTGCATAAATTACTTATTAGTATTAAAATATATCAAACGAAATGAATCATGTATAATTGCATGGCAGTGTCTTCATTGTTAGTGATAACAGCAGCGAGATTCTTAGAAACAATTTATTTAAGATGAAATTACAAAGATGTAGAAAATTTTGTAAATAAATTATTTAAAACAAAATATAACTTGAAAATTCATATAGATTTTTGTTACAAGCTGTTTTTCAATTTATACAATGACTTCAAAAACCGTACTTTGATTGTGTTTGTCTTCTAGTCATTCTATTGTTTGCCCATTGATTTTGCAGTTCCAGCTCATTAGCTTTTGCCTATAATTGAAGATTGGTTAAATAAAAATAGTTTTTGTCCAATGTACCAGTTTACAAGGCCAATAAAACAATAAAAGAAAAATAGTTAGAAATGATGAAGATCTAAAATACATATTTACTTGTTGAGCAAGATATGTGATTTGATGTTTGCGTTTTTGTGTAGATGATGGTCCTCCTAAAGGTTTTACTGAATGTGATGCTCTTGGTCCAGCTGTTGCTTCTTGCAGAGCTTCCCTCATCCATTCTTCTTCATTTGGAAGTATGTCTTTATGCGACATATCAATAATTTGTATACTCTCAGGTTTAAACCTTTTTGCTCTGCTACCGCAAAGCTTCCGAAGCTAAAAGACAAAATAAATTAATAATTTTTACTTAAATTTTATTAATAAAATACGTTTTATAAATTTTGTACTAACTGCTTCTTCATCTAATGATAATTCACCATCTTGAGCTTCCTCATTTATTGTTTGCTCAGTGTCAACATTTTCAAAGATAATAGGAGTTTCAACAAAATTTTTATTTGGTATTTCATTAAATTTATTCCTAATTGGTTCAGATGGTATATTTTCATATGGAACTTCAGGTAATTTATATTCTTGATTTAAAGAGAAGAAATCTGAGTTTTGATTGCTCGAGTTTTCGGACAGATTTTCAGAATCACTTTCATCAGAAGAATCATAATGTATAAGTGGTTTAGCATTATTGCTTTTAGTGATAGATTTTTTAGGTGATGGAATCGGTTTTGCAGCAGGTTTTTTTGTTAGAACATGAGGTACCATCATTGATTTTTTAGTGTTGTGGGATACTATATATTCCTTTGGTGGTGGCAACATTCCTAAAAGACCAGATTTGTTCTAAAAATGATAAATTGATTTCACTTATAAATTTTGAAAATATATTTCACAATGTAGGTTATATTTTAAGTACCTCAGATGGTGCTTTCATTGGCATGGCCACAGCGGGACGGTCATCATCATGCAACTACAAAATTAAAAACACAAATTGCAGGTATGTTTCAAGACAAAAATAAACATTAACATAAGGAATATGTAAAATATAAGAATTTTGAGAAAAGCTTTTATAGCTTTACCAAAATGCAATAAGAAAAATTAACAAAGTCAGACAACAAAGAGTTTTATGATCAATGCAATAACCTAGTTATTCAAATCTACATTGCTATTACATCTGACAATGCTGTCAATTGAATTTTCACAGGTTTTCTCAATGTGACTGGCGGAGGTGGTTTGATTTCTGGTTTTTCTTTCTTCTTCAAAAATTCATCGTCTTCTTCTACAATAGCTACATTAATCATTTCCTTAGGTTGCGGGAGCTTTAGAAAAGTTTCTGGAAAACAAGCAACTTAATAGATATATTCCAATATGCATATATACACAAATGTATACCATTTTCAACATTCTGATTTGATTTCGGGGGAGGTAGTTTGAGTGTAGGACCACCAGTTCCTCTTTGTTCACTATCATTTATAACATTATTTTGAATCTGTTGTATTAAAACTGCCTCATCAGTCTTTTCCTCACATTCATCCTCACTAATATCACTATCATCATAAGCTACCAATGCCATGTTCAATAATGGAATATATAACTCGTATTTACAGTAATTTCATAAATAAAATATATATTTTTGTGTCAAAAATGATCTTTATTCAAAATAGAAAAGGCAAATTTTCAATATTAATTACAATTTTATTTGCTACTTAAAATATATTTATGTAAAAAAAATAAAGTTCTCTTAAATATTTATATTATTTACTTAAATAATATTTACGTAAAATTTTTAAGTTATCATTTTTCTCTTCCCGCTGAATTGACAGATCAACTAACTTCACCTTAGTTAATCTGCTGCCGTGTAGATGGCGACAACTTTAGGTATGGCGACAACAAATACAATTGGGTTAAATTCAGTTGTAGATTGTAGAACAACTAAACGACAACTATTGTTATGTTTAATAATAATTTTTTACTACAATAGTGAAAACGCGCTGTATATTAACCATTTGTATTATATATATTATTTTTATAATAATCATGAATACAAAAAAGTAAAACTCCCAAATACAAAAATTATATAAAATGTTATGTACGATGATATGTAAAAGGTTAGTGAAAATTAGATACTGAAATTGTAAATAGTAATAATTGTTAATTGTAAATATTATTTTAATTATTGTAACAAAAGCTTTTTAAATCTGAAAATCTATAGTTAACTATAGATATTATTTAATTTATTTAATTTATACCATCAATAATGTTTCAAATGTTATATATCAATGAATTGTATTAGTACCAGATGATAGGTATACAAAATCTTATATACTCACTTTTTCTTTTATGTAATATAATATGGAACAAATAAATCTTTTCAAACAAAAACAAAAACGAACTATAGATATTTGTTTACCTTGTTTAAGGTCGCAATGTTTTCCTCATGAGTAGAACTTGACACGAATTGATATTTTTATTCTGATTTGTAACTTATATAATGTATTTTCTAAATATAAAATATATGTTTGCCAGTCAATTCATTCCGAAATAAATCAAATTAAGATACAACATTGAATTATTTAACATACGAAAACATTATTTAATTGACACGAGTCATAAATTTATAATTTGTTGACTGAAAATGTAATTAAAAAAAATATCTTAAAATTTAGATTTGAAATATATTTTACACTATATAATTATTGCCTAAAACATATATTATTTGTCGCACTCTTTGAGCTTTTGGAGCTTAGGATTATTATAATAAAAACGTAAAAATTTATGTTCTGAAATATAAATCACAACGAATGTATATATATATATATATATATATATATATATATATATATATATGTTGTGGCCTTATGCTTAATTATTTAATTTTAATAACCAATATATTTCCAATACCCTGCGTAATGAATCATATTCTTAATTGTATTGCATTCAAAATAATAATAGTTATTACATTGTAATAAAGTTTTCGGACCCCACCGCTGCCACCAAATAATATGTTGGGCGCCAATTAGCTTTTCGCTTCATTCTCTTTTTTTGTCACACAATTATTTTTTTTTATTCTCTTTATTGAATTACAATCTGTCTTTACAAAAAGGAAGACATTCAGTAATTTTGATGATATATGAAATATTAAACATTAGATCTAAAAGGTTACCCAGTAGTAAGCCTTTTCAATTTTGATATATTAAATTTAAATTATGTGATTATACAATTATGATATAATTCTTATATTCATTTATACCTTTTATTGTTTACAAAACCAGGTATATGATGAGGGATACTATACCCATACCTATGGGTAAACATCCGAACAATGTCAAAAATGTAATGTAAATATTTATATTTATTGAAATATATGTTCGTTTATCTTTATATATCTTTTTCTCTTCATCAACCAATTTTGTTAGATGTTATAGTAAATATCAAATAATATATCATTAAACAGAATATTTTTCATGTAATATTTGTATATCTGCAGAATTGTTTTTCATTTATATTTATATTTCATTATTTTTCCACAATGAAAACAAATTCATATCTGAACTTATAATTTTTCTTGCATAAGAAACAAAATTCTCATAATTTAGTACATTATGCTAAATGAATAAATTTGCTATGAACAATAACCAAAAAAAAATTAGTACATCAAATGCGTACTGCGTTTGTTGAAAAAAATGTAGTGACAACCCTGATATTATGTAATCTATATAAAAACTTATAATTTAACACTTACGGGACGGCACCGATTTCAAAACAAGCTGTAAACTTGATTTCATTGTGTATGTTATGCAATTTGTTTGATAAAAATTTGTGGCCATTGAAGGACATACATTTATAATATTAATTTATTTTTCGATCATTTTATAAAGAATGGTGACGTTCAAAACAATTTCGAAAATGCATAGCTTGATGATTTTGATATGTTTTACAATAAAATGTTGTTCGCCGCCTTCCTCCTAGTACTTTTCTGTCAGAACAGACAATACAATCCCTTTTTCTTTTTCTCGCATTTAGAATGTGCCACTGATTAGTCAGTATATTTGTTTATTTTTTGTGCCATAATGGTTTGTTTTTTCTATTATATTGTCTTAATATTCATTTGTAAAATATAAAGTAAAATAATCTATTGGATGTCTTATATTGCTTCGTATTTGTTGTCGGGGTGTTTGTTGATGTATTATATAATGAAAACAAATTTTTATCTGAACTCTTAATTTAGTATCTATATGAACAATTGCATACTTCGTTTGTTGAAAAAATATAATTACAACCCTGATGTTAAGTAATCCATGTAAAATTATAATTTAATAAGAACTAAAAATATAAATGAATAGATGTAAATTTTGTTTATTATAATAGTGAATATTTACACAATTTCAATATTTTTAAGAGTAGATACTGTTATACAAATAGATACTAGTTATTTGAACTATAATTTAAATGTTTTTTTTTTTTTTTTTTTTTTTTTAAACTTTTTATTACTAATTATTTTTCTTTTTTTTTTTTTATCTTACATACTACATTTATTTTACTTTTTCTTTACATATTTTTACTGTTTATTACATTTTTCTTTACGAATATTTCTTCCAAGGGCAGGTCCGTGGTTGAGTTGAAAATGCACTCAATCATGGTTGCACGATGTCAGAGCCTTTACATTTTTCTGTTGTATAGAGATACAAATTCGACTTCCTTTTTGTATTTCAGCGATACCATCTTAGTACCTCTTTACTTCCAAGTGGCGTGTTGCCACTACAGCTTTGGCCCAAAGGCCATTTTCACTTGAAATCATACTTGAAATCTATGATTTCAAGTGAAAATTTGGTATCAAGCTGTTTTGATACCGAACCGACCGAGGTTGGATTCGAACCCGGGACTAGGATTGCTAGCCCACGTTCTACCACGGGACCACGGCCGGTCCCTTAAGAAGGTATAATATATTGTTTAATTATTATAATGTGTTCAAAGGTTATCATTTCCTTCATAAATTTCAAATTAAAACTTGTTGATTTTAATAATTAATTAAATTAAAAAAATGTATTATTATTTTTTAAATACTTAGAAATTCCCACATGTAATGTTCATTAAGATCATTTCTCCCATACGTTTCGTATTGTTCCTCTCGTATCTGTTCCGTTTACCGCAAGCGCGCGTTTAGTCGCACGCTGCCTGTTGCAGTGAGTGGTTGTGTCGGAAGTGCTTTCTTGTTCGAACAACGTGTTCCTGTGAATAAAACGTTCATGTTCTTCTGTGAACAGTGAATTAATTTTATTGTTAATGGAAATTATGGATAAAATATTTGTGATCTGTGCTTAGTGCTTGTGAGTTTATGGATGCTGCATTTTTTATATAAAGGTAAGTTGATAGATCAATTACTATTCTGATTTTGAAAAACTATTATGAAAACTTTATTTATAAATTAGGGCTATTATTTAGGGTTAAAACTATATATAAACTATAATTTGAATGGTTAAAACATTTTATAGTATTTAAAAAAACAAATAAATAATTATCTAATTATCTTATTATCTAATTATCTTATCAAAACATAACTGAAAAATAAAAATTGTATGTTGACGGACAGTAGAAGCAAGAGTTGTTTGAAAATATTTATATATTTTCTAAATTTATATTTTTAAAATTTAAAAGTTTAAAATTTTCTTATTTATATTTTTGTATTTAGGTTTAATCTTTTATTTTTTTATAAACCTCAACAATTTTGCATTATAAAACTTTAATAAAGTTTTGATTGACAAAAAAAATTCTTTATATCGTTCGAAAATTTACACTTATTGTTTTGTTTGTTTTAAGTTTTACAATATTAGAAGCAGAGTTTAATATTTTCTAAATAATTTTCTTATTTATATTTTTGTATTTAGGTTTAATTTTTATTTTTTTTTATAAACCTCAACAATTTTGTATTATAAAACTTTAATAAAGTTTGGATCGACAAAAAAAAATTCTTTATAATTAAACAATTCTTTCAATTATCCGTGCAAATTTTGAGTGCATAATTACAATAACTCTAAAATTTAAATAGTGATTAAGAAATAAAAAATTCTTAAATTTTTGAATCAATTACTGAAAATTTGAATCTTACATAGATTTGTGTTTTTAGAATTAAAAGTGTTAATTGTTACTTTGTTATAATTACTATTATCTGCCACTTATTATTTTTATTCAACTTTATATTTTTTCTAGTATTATTTTTATTATTCAGAAATTTTATTTATTTTATTTATTAATTTTATTATTATTATTATTTGCTTTTATTTAATATTAAATCATCATACTACAGATACCATTTTAATAAAAATACTATCCTTTATTTTGTACTCTTTTTTATTTAAATTTATGTTATTGTTCATCATTGGTACTAGATGTTAAATTATTTAACAGTTGTAATAAATATTGTAATTAAAAAAAGTGTTAATAAAGTCAACTTCGAGTTAGATTAGATTAAAATTTTTAGTAATGAAATAGTAAATTATGAAATATATTTAATATAAAATACGAATGATATTTGCTATATGAAGGTAATTTTACTATAAATTGCTGAAAATTTGAATCTTACAAAAGTTACTGTTTTTTATGAATTAAATGTGTTGGTAAAGTTAACTTTGGGTTTGATTCAATTAAAATTTATAATAATGA